TGGCGGGGGGGGGGGGGGGGGGGTGGGGGGGGGGGCAGAGTAAAAATGTACGGATACTTTTCTGTCAGGACATAGGCCTACATACACAGGAAATACGGAAACTAACAATGGTTTTACTATAGTAAAAGTGCAGTAACCATGGATTGATTGTAATTTTTTTAACCAGCAGTTTAACTACAAATATATGGTTAAAAGGTTAGTGTAATAAAATCATGGTTAATTTTAATGTGTTTTCCGATAAACCTAAAACACAATGCAGTGCAAAATACATCATACTGAATTTACATACACTGTCCCTAATTTTTAAAGAGTTTTTTAAAATTAAAATTAATTTAATTTGGAATGTAAAGAAAAGCCTTACAAACCATATCCATTATATAAAATTGCAATGTTAAAGTTAAATAACAACGTTCCCTTTACTAGAGACAACAAAAATCCCATATATACTAGGCTATTTAATAATAGTTACAATTTAAAATGGGCAATATTGTGCTGAATACAGAACTTGACGACGACAACAACAAGGGGTCTGAATACTTTCCGTACCCACTGTATATACACTAGGCTATTTAATGATAGTTCAAATTTAAAATGGGGAGTATTGTGCTGAATGTAGAACTTGACAACAACAATAATAACCAAGTACAAAATAAAAAATATATATATACACTAGAAGCTGGGTGTGCTCCTCAAGAGGAATACGTTACTGTAAATTTATTAAAGTCTTATATATTTTATATTTGCAGTTTTTCAAAGTACAACTGTTTACATGTAGTAGAAAGGGAAGCAAAAGAAATGTAATAACTTAATACTGATCTTCATTATGTTATGTGCAGGAAAAAAACACGAACTTCTGTGGAGAGTAATGTTCGCGCTGCGCTGTTGTAACTGATCAGCTGTCAGTTCGGTGGCGCTAGTAAACACGTCCTCTCTGCGCTGTCGAGTCGGCCGCGCAGCTCGGTCCATTGAGCCGCGCTGACCGAACACTTTAATACCGCGCTGTCTCGTCCCACTTTTGGGTTGTTTACTTCCCATACACAGAGACGCGTTTCAGACGCCGCGTAAACACCGAGTTGATTCGGCCTTTCGCATCTCCTCATGTTTGAACAGACACATACACACAGAATTACGTCAATAGTACCCGTCTCGACGATCATTCTCGTAAACGCAGTCGGTTGTTTTAAATTAATGTAAACATCTGAGAAAGAAATCGGATGTGCATCATTATACTGGATCAAACAACAAAACAGCTATAACAAAGATTTATCTAAATTTAATTCATACAGTGAACACTATGCAGTGTTGTTTTACACTTAATTATTACATTTCTGTACCTGAATACTACCGTTTATATTATCTATGCTTGTAAATGTTCACACTGATGTTAAAATGACATTTTCTGATTTGTGACTTTACTTTTTATGTAATGCTAAAACACTGCTGGTCACTTTCAGAAGTTGTAGTGATTCTTTCTTTTCCAAGAAAGAATGTGAAACAAATTGGTTATATAATTTTAATTTTTTATGTTTTTGAGAAAACAAAAACACTAACTGAAAAACGTATTGCTTTTCTATTGTATTAAGCATCAAAATTCAATTATACATTGGATTGGTTTCTTCTTTAAATAAAGGTAAAAAAAATATGGTATTATTATTAGTATTACTAAAACAATGGAAAAACACATAAGATAACCTGTAGAAAGAAAAAAACATCTTAAGCACGCAGAATAACATAAGTGGACTTTGAACGATGAACGATTACGTAATTGTGGCAACTGTAACTGTAATCACGATTAGAAATTCGATTAATCGTGCAGCCCTAATTGGCCCCCAATCAGAATCCGTACTGCTGTAACGAGCTCTAAAAAAAAATAAACGGACGATATTATCCGCTGGTGTGAATGCTAATATCTTTATAGTTATCGTTCTTGGTGTGAACGGGGCTTTATAAGCAATGTATAAAGTGTCTAAATGGCCACCCCTCTACAAAATTACCAGGTGGTTTTCTAGGAAGCCACACAAAATGTATTAATGGGTTGACAATGATTCACTAACCCTGATAAACGAGAGCATCATTACCTAATGCATTCAAAGGTCAAGGGGGGTCTGCTTCAACCGGTAAGAACCAGAAAACCGAATTCATTACAAGGCCGAGCAAAGACCAATAATAGCAACCGCAGAGTTGCCAGATGAGACTACCACAGATGCAGCAGGATCATGTTACCGAGGCTGAACTGAAAACTTGAAAAATTGTTGACTCTAATGGATTTCATCATTTAAATAGTCTTGCGAGTGCCTGGTGTTAAAGCGGTGAACACACTACACGACTGTCAGGCTGATTATGAATGTAATTTGGTATTGACAACTGATCGTGCCCAGTCGGACCAGGGGGGTATTCCAAAATGCAGGTTATGTGACATACCTGGGTATGTTTGAACATAAGTGAGCGGATAACCTCAGGTTTCGGTTCCAAAATCGGAGGTTACTTTCAGGGTAAGTAAGTAACCATAGTAACTTGCTCTCTGAAGATAACCGGAGCAGGTTCCAGGGTTAGTTCACTTTAGCGAACGTGTGATCTACTGACGAGCCTTCAGTGGGCGTGACCGATAACGCACAACTTTATAAATTACAAATTTCACGATTCGATTCTCATTTACAAGCTTGCGATTCGATTACCAATTCGATATCGATTATTTTGGATATATCAGGTACAGTAGGCTACATGCCAAATTTTCACAAGGAAAAACAAAATCTCTCGACTAATGCTATAAAGTGAGTTGGTACTACATTACTATAATATTGAAGGTTAAAATTGACTGATTTGTTAAAATTACACTTAATGAAGTTTTTTTAAATAATAAAATTACAATTACATAATATTTCTACTTCAATTCGTTTTTTTTTTTTTTTTTTTATATATAAACAATGGTGGCTGTCATTGGATTTATTCAACTTAATGAAGTTTTTTTAAATAATAAAATTACAATTACATAATATTTCTACTTCAATTCGTTTTTTTTTTTTTTTTTTATATATAAACAATGGTGGCTGTCATTGGATTTATTCAAACTTAAATTAAACATTGAAGAACAGTAAAATTTATAATATGTTATTTGGTGCATATATTTAGCAAAATTCGCCTCTCTACAGTTTATGTTTCTATCTGACTAATGAGTTTATGGTCACCGAATATGCTTTCTGAGGTAAATGTGACGTTACGTGACATTGTTTACAAGTCGTTATATTAACGTCTTTGTGAGGCTGAAACACTGATTGAGCGATTACATGAGACAGGATACAGCTTGTAAAGTTATACTCTTACTTTTAACTTACCTTCGGATGTTTACTCATGTTTATTTCGTGCTGAAGCTGGTATTAATGTGAAGATGATCAGTTCACGTGCGCTATGCGCTGCCGCATCTGTCTGCTGAACTGAGGCGCTACTGCGATCTCTCACTAATGTGATCTTTCACTCCACATTTAACAGCGCCAAAACTGCATTTATTGTTTGAATACTGCAATACAATGGACAGAATTTGAAATCTGAGGCTTTGTTTCATATTAAAAGTACCAAAGCACAATGCTTATTGCGATATATTGGATGGGAAGTGCCCTTTCAACGTTCCGTCCATTAACTGAAAACAGGCTAGACTAATCGATTCTTAGGATTTAAGAATCGATATTGTTCCGTAAAAATGAGAATCGATTAATAGAGATATCGATATTTTTACCCAGCCCAAATACACGATATATATAAACCGGCTGAAATGTTTTGAAATCACTTGTACCCTACCGGATCGAAAAAATCCAGTCTTTCACTCTGCCCGTGTCAATTTGAGTCTTGTTAAAGTTTTAAATCCCTGCCGCCAAGATGCTCCTCTTTCGGTCACAGATTATGGAAAGTGAAATTTAAATCTATAGGGGTGGTTGGATTTATATTATTTGTATGGATTTACAGCATTATTTTAATAGGCTGTATATTAACTTATTGGGAGAAAACCAGTAGTTCTATGTGAAGTCAGACATTTGAGCACCCCCATATAGCCAAAATGGCATGATCATAACATCCCGCGAATATTCGACTGAGATTGGTAGTCGAATCAGGCTCCTCCTATCGAAGCATCGAATATTCGACTATTCGGGGGTCACCCCTAATACATACATTTCTTTTACTTTCTGCACAACACTTTATACATTGGATTGATTTTAATAACTGAAGTGTGCACCAAACAGACATTCCTATAAGAAAATTTGGTATTGGCAGATACTTAAAATTCAATCACCAGGATCAGGTGGGTGGGCAAAAAAAAAAATCGTCACACCCCTAGCTACTATCCATTAATATAAAGTTATAAACAAATATGAATAAGTTCTCTGAAATTTAGTCAGCAGAGTTACAAAGTAGAGAAACTTCTTTACCTTCTTAAAAAGAACAACACCATCCTTGGCCACTTCAAACTTTGAAAAGACTGCATCATCTGAGATGATGCCAAAGGGGATGTCATCCACAGCCTCTGCAGTTTTAATGAAGGCCTTGGCATCTTCTGATTCAACATCCTGCAGAGAGACAGGACATTTTTTATAAACAACAACAACAACAATAATAATAATAATAAATAATAATAATAATAATAACAACAACAAAAAAGCACCCAAAACTAAACTAGCTGAAGAAAAGAATGACATTTACCTTAAAGAACCCAATGACTACAACCTCATTATCAGCAATAAGAGACTCTGCCTGCGTCACATCAGTTATAGTAGTAGCTGCAGGACCAGTTCGCTTTTTCAGCCAGTTGACGATGTCATCAGCCTGTCGGCCAGCTGTAGACAGAGCATGAGCATGAACATGTCATAGTGAGACAAAGGAACCTGGTGGTATCAAGCAAACTCTTGTACATGTACAGAAAAAATGTGTCATAGCAACTATAGGAGATGTTCTACATTTGGCACATTATTATTTTTTTAAAAGCACCTTGCACTGCATTTCAGGCATACATTTCATCGGTCCACGCATTCATTTGGAAATAAACACGTGACCTTGGTGTGCTAACCCCCAGTTCTACTTTTTGAGCTACAGAAAATGCACTGATAATTAAAAACAAAAAAAGAAATTATATAAAGCAAGCAATTAAATACAGAGTAAACACAACTAAAGTGCTCCTTTCATGCATCCTCACCAATTTATGACCACTGGGCAGGACCGACATTTTGTCAATGTGAATGACATGTCACAGTTTCAAAGGTAGTCTTAATTATTATGCTGTTTTTAAAGGAGTGAGGAGCGAGCACCACAGCTTACAGCAGGAACGACTGATGTGATACGTCAACAATTACACTGTGGTTTAGCTTTTGATCAAGTCGGAGTTCTTATGACCTCCTGATACAGATGCCCTGATAGAGGCCATCCATCGAGGACTCAGATAAGACAAAGATTAAACATTCTGGAATTTTGTTTTCTGTAATCCCACAAGGAATCTGAAAAGTGGGTGTTACTTTTTTATTTATTTTTTTTTTAGACCTAAAGACATCTGAAAGTCATGGAACTTGCATTTGCTGAGGCAGGTCTGGTCTGCAGGAGTAAGACCGTAATAAACAGCCATGGAGAGCAGCCTACAGCAACCAGACCACAGGCAACCTGAGGAACTGTACGTTGAAGGAAAGGGGGAGGAGCCTTCTACAAACAGGCTGGAACTCAGGGCTTCCACGTACAGAACGACATGCATGTCTTCAGCAGTTAGCACTCACGTTCATGGTATGCAGACCACTGACCTATCTAAACTGAATTATGGTTTACGGTATAAGATGGCATCAATACAGCTCAGTTACACTTCAGCTACTCTAATCAAAACAAACCCGTTAGAACCGTTTGTGCACTTACTGATTTCCTTCTATCTGGTTTAAAAAAAAAAAAATCTTGTTGATTTTGAAATCATTTGACTTTTTAACACAAAAGTCAAAAGCTGAAGCCAGTCTAGTAGTCCATACACAAAGACGGGCCATGGATATCATGTAAGAATATTGTGGCTGATATCTCTCACCAGAATACTCCTTGGGGTTCTCCTTCTCTCCTCCCTTAAAGAACTTGATGGTGGGATATCCACGAACACCAAAAGCCTGAGCGAGTTCAGATTCTTCTGTTGCATCCACCTTTGCTAGTTTGATGTCTGATCCTTCAGCTTTCAGCATACCAGCTGCTTTGGCATATTCAGGGGCCAGGGCCTTGCAGTGCCCACACCATGGTGCATCTGCAATTAGCAAAAAATGGTTAAATTCAATAAAACTGACATTTACGGTCACTGCATGTTAGTGATTTTACATTCATTACTCACAAACCACATTAGCAGTAATTTGTCTGAATTAATGTGTTCGTGGTACACATGAATAAAAAGAATGTATGTTTATTCTAGTGTTCGAACCCAGTAAAACTGGATAAACTAAATGAGTAGGCCAAATTTATTACGCTAATCTTTCTCAACGCGTCATATCTCACAACATGGCATGTTATTAAATCAAGACCAAAGTTCAGTGGTTATAAAAAATACACATGTATCAAATACTCCTTCACTCTTTTATCAAATAAAACACGAATGAAAGACTGTACAGTTTACGCTTTCATTACATTGTTCACATGAAAAGTGTTTTTAAATACCAAATTCAATGTGGAACAAATGTTATTTTTCTGATGTACACGTCAACCTAGCGCGGGGCCACTGGAAAGTCCGGGGCCCATAATACTCGCCGTCACGCCTCGCTTTATGACGAAACACTCGTGGAGGCTAGTGATTGGGCAACTCGAGAGTCTATCACGTCCCAGTATCAGGATATACTTTGAGAGTGCCCAATGAATTTAGCCCGGTAAAGCGCAGCTAAACTAACCTAGGAGCCCGGTTACACACAAGTTTGAGAAGTCCTTTCAGGTTGAAAACTCATTCATGCTTGCCCACAACATACTGCATCTCATTTGCATGAAGTGGCGAAACCGAAAAACAAAGCAGTAGGTAATCGAAAGTAGAAAAACAAGTGAAAGTGCAAATCAATGCATTTATTATTTTCAACACGAAAGGAACTCAGAGCTACTGATCCAAGGCTGCTGAATCTCCCTGAATACGTACTTACGAATCTACCAACTTGAATCGAATGCATTATTCATAAAGGGATTCAACGTATTTTTGCCTTGTTAAAATAGAAAGTTTTGGGGCGAGTGGCAAAGACGTCTTCAAATCATTAACGTTACATTGGAACCACTTCTCTGAACGCTTTCAAAATTACGTTCTTACATTACGGTTTAATATTATGATTAAGATTTGGTTAGCACACGTCTGTTACTTGAGTTATGATTGCAAGAGATTAAGTACTGCTGCAGCAAATCAAGACTAAGAATAAAAAACAATTCCTATTTCACTGAGAGTTGGTTTCGTTTTGCATTTTCCTCATGCACAAGCTATCGACACGAACACAGCAACGACAATTCAAACAAAGTTGGCGACTACTTACAAAACTCAACAAGGATATTTGGGTAAGTTTTGAGCGCCTCCTCGAAGTTACTTTTCTTCAGTACGAGCACGTCCTCCTCCTCAGCGATATCAGCCGCGCTCATAGCGGCCAGTGCGCACACAATCAACAACCTCAGCATCTCGGATCACCTCCAAACGTGCCAGCTATTTATAATACCGTGATGGAAACCGGGGAGATTGTTAGCGCGGCGGGTCTTCTTTTACCTTTAACAGTCTGAAGTGTCGCTTGAATTTGGTGTCTGCCGCTAATAACGTGGCAATGTGCGCATGAAAAAGAGAGGACAGCGCTGCTGCGCATGCGCATTTATTAGGCCGAGCACAGTTCGTGTTGAATTGTGAGTGGACCGCGCGTCTCCTAGCACCTGGAAGTGAATCTGCCAGTCTTGAATACGAATTCACAATTTCTACTACGGCGAACTAATAATAATAAAAAAAAAAAAATAGACTGATTATACACTTCATAATATTCATCCACATTATAAAATACTGGAATAAACATAGATGTTATACAATGTCAATTTTGTAAACGATGTAAATTCTGTTTCATCTTACAATATGTAAAATTCCATTAAACAATTTTACTGACAAAAAATAAATCCTATTACGGCGAATGCTTGGCTCATGAATATTATTTACGCAGCGTGACGTTCTGCCACTAGCCCTGAGTGATTTGGCGAAAGGCAGACGTCCCTAGGTGAAAGCCTATCAACTGGCGAATTAACTGGGCTCATTAATATTAATTCGACTGCGTGGCTGAACACTCATCACAGGAAAGAACGCCACCACAATCTATTTAATATTAATGAGCCAATTCCTGAACAATAGTAGGATTCGTAATTTCGTAACTAAGAGTTTTTTGTATGTTTGAATCTGTATTATGGAAACATCCTAACTCAAAATACTAACCATAGTCATTTCACTCGAGCCTTTTCAAATTCAAGAATTAAGATGCATGGGCATATTGTAGAACCCTACAGCTAAGATTGAAATAGTCAATGCACCTAATTAGGCAAAATCCCCCTTTAGGGATTTGCCATTATTTGAAAGGTGAGATAAGACGATATATACAGTCAATACTGGTAACATGTACAGTCTAAAGAATTTGTATGCAGCTGATTGTGCCAAACAAGTAGATAAAAGAATGAACCGATACAGGAAATGGCCCACTATTACTTTCACCACAAACTTTCTGTGGTTATACACTAGTAATAATACAGTGTGTGATGTTCAGTTGGTTTGCAACATAAAATTAGAAGTTTGAAATAGTTTGCAGAAGATGTCTTGTGATAAAAGTCCAAATGCATTAACCTCCGTATGTATGTTTGTTATGATCATGTCTTGATCAAATAAACATAATTTGCAAAAGTATTTTAAAACCACAAACAGAAAACACAGTTCAGACTCTTTGCAATTCAGTTTCCTCAAAACTGTTTTCCTTGAGATGAAAGATGAAGATAGACCAGGACCTGATGTTTGTTTTTTCTGATGTTATTATCAAGAATTGCTATGACGCCACTTAGCTAACTTTACTACAATGACAATAACACAATATTATGCATGAAAGCTGACAGTTTTTTCAAAAGGTTTTCTCCTCTAGAGAAACATTCTCAAAATTACAGAGTGAATATCAGTAAACTGTATGGGGAGATCTTGTTGGTTGAGAAATGTTAGTAACAGGATCTAACACTGCTTGGTTAACAAAGAATCGTCAGCTAAGAAAAACAAATGCTGCTTTGTTTAATTTACAGGGCAATAAGGAAAATATTTAATGTAGCATTGTATATTTGTGTCAGATGTAGTGTTTTGTAAAATTAAGAAGGCCAAATGTTGCTTCCATTAGCAGTGTATTTCCTGATTCAGTTAGCATGTCATCATAATAAAAACATCAAAATCAGTAAATGGACAAGCCAGGTGAAACTTAATGCAGCGACGAAGGAACTGATCATCTCTCACTACACTCTCGCGTGCTAAATATAAACACTCATAGCGGAGGCATAGAAACACTGTTAAGCTGTAATTGTTCTCTAATCAGCTCAATGATGGCACACATGAGTACTGGGAAATGGCAAATTATTTTTCTTTTTATCAAGGATAAAAATACAGTTGTTGCCATGTCAACTCCATGTCAACATTTTCACACTCACCTTGAGAACAGAGAGATTCTGCATATAGATTCATATCATATCTGACATTACACTGAGGTGTAAGGATTTAAAGTATATAACACTATCAAAGTATATACTGTTGTCAATTAATGAAAAGTATTTCATAACATTGTAAGACAATGTTGAAAGAAATCTAATTTATTATTTAGGAACATTTAAAGAATGGACATACATATCACATAAAATAGGCATTGATCTGAAAAGATAGTGACACATTACAGCACATGTATGATCTTAATAACTTTATTAACATCTGTCTAATGTGGGGAACCAAGGGTATGAACTTTTTAAGAAGAAACAAACAGATGTTTTCTGTTTATGGATAGGGTGTGAATACTGCTTTCCACTCAATTATAATCAAAACATTTAGGCTATAAAGGCAAAAAAAATAATTAAAATAATTTACATAAAGCTTTAATTTTTACATTACACATTATACTGAACAACAATCAATTTGTGGGTCAATAACCAGCCAATTGTGTGAATAATCGCTTTTCTCCGCTAGATGGCACAAGTGAACTATGTGCAGATGCCACACATAAACAGCACAAAGAATTTCATTCCTGATTTCTGTTGTGGCTTATTTGTGAAACATGGTTTAGTATTGTTTTCACATATTGCCTTGCAGTTATTTGTAATACAGTTGCATAATTTGAGATTATACTGCCAAGAAAAATGAATTGGTCCACACACTTTAACTGATTTTTTCCCCCTTCAAATGATAGGGCTGGAAAAAAGAGCCTCAGAAAAGTTGTTGATTAGTCTTGACTTCCTGTTTCACTAGGCTATAAATATGAGGTGACACACAGGCTAATTTCTATAGGTTTTCCTCACTATGGGAAAGACCTGAAAAAACAACGATTTGTGGGAAAAAAAAAAATTTTCAGCTCACAAATCAATAAGATTTAATGGAAATGGCAATGAGATGATTATTTGATGGTCGAAACACTCATTTGCACTTATTTGTTTGGGAAGGTTTTCACAAACAAACAAAAAAAAAAATTCAAATAAGCAAGCATAATTTGCTAAAGTATTTTAAAACCACAAACAGAAAACACAGTTCAGTTTCCTCAAAACTGGTTTCCCTGAAATGAAAGATGATAGTCCAGGACCAGATGTTTTTTTTCTGTTGTTATTACCAAGAATTGCCACGACCCCACAATGAAAATAACACAATATTATGCATGAAAGCTGACTGTTTTTCAAAAGATTTTCTCCTCTAGAGAAGCATTCACAAATTTACAGTGAATATCAATAAACTGTACGGGGAGATCTTGTTGTTTGAGAAGTATTAGTAACAGGAACTAACACGAGCTCTGTTTGGTTAACAAAGAATAGTCAGCTAAGGAAAACAGATGAGACCAAAATGCTACTTTTTTTGGTATAGACTGAAAGTCAGCCAAATAGAAACGTTCCTTATCCCCACTGTGGAGTATGATTTTGGATCTTTAATGCTGTGAGGCTAATTGTTTTCCAAAGGCCCTGGACAACTTATTAGGATACATGTTATCATAACCTCCAGATTTTAAATCAACACCTCAGTGACAGCAAGCGTTAACTGGACTCTGGTTGGCTCCTTCAATAGGACAATGATCCACACCTCAATATCAACACAAAAATGATTCACTGCCCATTGTACATAGCAGTCCCTTGACCCAAACTTCAAAGAAAACCTGTGTAATAAGCTGTTCAAGAAAGTCCAAAAGGACCTCTGAAACTGGAGGATCTGGAGAGATTTCTGTATGGAGGACAGATGTATGGAGGACAGATGTTTCTTGACAGATGTTCATCCACCTTATTACACATTATAGGAGAAATCTTGGCAAAGAAATCTTTTTACTGAATTATTTAACTTTAATTTAATTGCTTTAATTACTAATTAAGATTACATTTTGTGAATGCATTGAATGAATGACCAAGTGGATAATCACCAAAGACACATTTCCATGTTTCTCCTATTATACCAAGGGTGCCAATATTTGTGAAGCTTACTGTATGTACACTTAGTGATGTCACGCTAGATGAGCTAAGGGTGGGACTGGCATTCACTAGCCATTATCATCTTTTCCCAGTGGAACCCAAAGGGAAATTCTTTGTTTTGGTTTCCTTTAGCTAATGCTAAACGTTAGATTATTTTTGTCAGTAGATGAAAGCATTTTGGCCGAAGATAAACGTATGACTTTATCTCTTATGTGAGCTGATATCCAACTAACTGCTGTAGCAGTTTGCATCACATCATTCAATGCAGTGTACACAGGGTACAAAAAGACAACTGATCCGTAATTTCAACTTCATAGACAGAAAAGTCATTGAGGTTTTAGAGTTACAATATATTTAACACAGAAAGTCAAATAAATCATTTCACTTTATTAAAAATGCAACCTTGTGAAAAGCATGTGGTTTTTAGTACCGACTATACACAAAATAGTATAGCACTGTGACAAATAGGACAAACAATCAATCATATGAGGAAAGGGAACTTAATGATTAAATCAGTGTTTTTTTGTTGTTCTTTTTAAAGAGAATGTTGGTGGAGGACACAGAAGATTGATGGTACATAGGCCACAGTAGTCCAGAGGGAGGTGAGGGATGCTGACTGACTTCTATCAGTCCACTGGTTCAGGAAGATCATGGTTGAGTTCAGCATATTCTAACAGGCCTTGCTACAAAAATACAAGCACAAAATTAACTGATGAGATGTATTGTCCTCATTTTCAGAAATCATATTTAATGAAAATCTGTTTATGTTAGTAACATCCTCAAAAAGGAAAGGAAAGGTGTCCCATACTCGGAATTTGTGCTCTGCATTTCACCCATCCAAGTGCACACAAAGCAGTGAATAGTGAACAAACACACATGGTAAACACACACCTGGAGCAGTGGGCAGCCATTCTTGCTGCGGTATGGAAGGTGGAGAGCACTCTCCCCAACCCACCCCCTCCCCCTCCCCTCCCCCACACACACACGACTGCCCCAGCGGAGAAGGAAACATTTCTCTCTTGTCATTCCAACTCTGTTGGAAATCCATATACTCTATCAGAGATGTACACATAATGAGGAAGAGGAGGTGAAAACCCCAGAAGGGAAAATTGGGTTGATGTCAGTTTCAATGTTTTACACTCATCGGAGTTATTCTGTCTCATAATTTTGCTGTACTTCTGTCTTCCTTTCCTCTGGCCTTTCACAGAGTTTATGAAGTCACTGTGTGACTGCTCTCTGTAAATTCTGGCCCTCTGTTCAAGAGGAAACCACAGCCCTGCTATTTGTTCCCATTTGGAAAGTCTGACTGGTGCTTCCCGCTTCACTTACTGTAGACAGAGTTTACAAAACACACACATTCAGTCCTCCATGTGAGTATGTTACATCATCCCACAGAAAACTAAGATCACATTTAGAGTTCTCTGGTCAGGTGCAGTGATGTGCTGCATCACACACGTAAAATATTGCTCATGAAATTAACTTAACAAGTCTCAGATTGCCCTTTGTTAATGAACAAGATGCATGCTTTGATTGAGATTTTAAGTAATTTGCTTAAAAAAAGTAAATAAAAGCTGATGAGTTGCATGTCTTCACTCTTCAGATATTTGTATAAAAAAATTAAGGTAATGGAAAAAAAAGTGTGAATTTCACTGCAGTAGACAACAAAACAAACCATGTTATACAAACAAATTATGCTGGACCTGGGGTATTTAATCATTTTTAATGTAAGCCATGTCGAACATTAAAAACATAGTTTAACATTATACTTTCTTAACTTTTGAAATACACAGGTGATCTCTAAATTATTTCAAAGGTCAGGCAGCAGGATGGAAAGAATGCTTATAAGGTCATAAGAAGTGAGAGAATTAAGGTCACTTACATGGTTAACATGTTCAACAGCCCCTGTACAAATAGTATGAATTAGAAAAAGACATCAATTACAACACAACCCACTGCTCTGTGTGTTTGCATTACAGAATGTCATAGGAACTTTTTGTGTGTAAATGTATTTGCTCCTTTTTGCAATGTTGTTTGTACCTTGAGTGGTCTGAAGCTCACTGTACACAGTATCTGTGCCTTTCTTCAGAGGAACTATAGTACAAAAGAAAAAAAAATATATGTTTAGGATATATCTTAAAGTAAAGAAGAAAGAGGTAGTATAAATAATAATTGTTTTGAAATGCACACTGTAATTCTGGATAATGTAAGTAAGAAGCTATTGGAGTTAGCAGGAACCTAATTAGTCTGGCTTTTCCTGTTTAAAAGATGTCTCTAGAAAGTAACCACTGTAATTAAAATCAAGGGCTCTTGATAATTTGGATGGTTAGACCCCACCCAGGAAGTGGTTTTTCTCTAATCAGCTCATGCATGCCAGGGAATCATAATGTTCCTATTCAAAAGGCAAGAGGAGTGAGAGGATAAAAAAAAAGACATGGATATAGTTTTAAAACGTTGAACTTACGCCGTGTAGGATCTACAGGTTGAGGATGAACCACCTCTGTATACTCTACATGACCTTCATTTGTGGACCCTAGGCTGTCCTGGTCAGCAACATCTGGTGAAAAAACAAACATCAATACAAAAATACAAAATGAGATAGGTTAGAATCATTTCAGGTAGGCCTGTATGTTGCAGGTAAATACTAGTAGCTTGGGGAATGCATGGAAATCAGTATGATTTCAGTATGAAGTGTTGACTCACCTGGAGGTCTTTCACTCCAAACACTCTCTTTGCTATGCACCACCACTGAAACACACAGCAAAAATAGTGCATCAGCCATGGCCATTTACATGCCACTGATCTAAAGTGAAATCAAATTAGCTGAAGTACACACACATATATACATACAGGTGCATCTCAATACATTAGAATGTCGTGGAAAAGTTCATTTATTTCAGTAATTCAACTCAAATTGTGAAATTCGTGTATTAAATAAATTCAATGCACACAGACTGAAGTAGTTTAAGTCTTTGGTTCTTTTTATTGGGATGATTTTGGCTCACATTTAACAAAAACCCACCAATTCACTATCTCAACAAATTAGAATATGGTGACATGCCAATCAGCTAATCAACTCAAAATATCTGAAAAGGTTTCCTGAGCCTTCAAAAATCCACGACATTCTAATTTATTGAGATGCACCTATATATATATATACAATCCTGCCCCTAGACAGTGGAAATTAATATTAGCTGGTTCAGTCCCAACACATACAGTACCAGGATGATGAAGATGAAACAAAGGTGGACATTTCAGCAAGACGATGATCCCAAACACAGCCAAGGAAACTCTCGATTGTTTCAGAGAAAGAAAACAAAGCTGCTAGAATGACCCAGCCAATCACCTGACTTGAATACAATAGAAAATAAAAACTAAAGATCAGAGTTCATAGAAGAGGCCCACAGAACCTTCAAGATTTGAAGACTGAGTGAAAGAATGGGACAAAATCACACCTGAGCAATGTATGCGACTAGTTTCTCCATACAGGAGGCGTCTTGAAGCTGTCATTACCAACAAAGGCTTTTGTACAAAGTATTAAATAAATGTCAGTAGTTCAACACTTTTCCCCTGTATCCTTCCATTTTATTACACATAACTTAATTTCTGAATGTATTTGTTTTGTTTTATTTGTATATATGGATTACTTGGGTTGGTACCGACATCTGATGAAAATTTTATGTCAACAGCACCTTTAGAAATATATTTACTGAGAATAAAGGTGACGTGTTCAATACTTATTTTACCCGCTGTATATACAGTATATACCAAATCTATAAATTCAAATTTCAGCATGTTGTATGTGTTAGGATTAATCAGTGATTAATAAGTCAATTCCCTAAACTAAGCAGAACAGCTTTTGTATCCAATTTAACTACAATCACTGTATCTCCTGAACCTGTGACCTGCTTTTAGACATTGCATCTGAAGTAAACTGTTTGGTCTGGACTCTGGTGACACTGTACTACCAGACAAATACAAAAGCAGGAAACTGTTCATAAAATAAATATATATGCAAAGTCAACATTGCCGCTTCAAATTTTCTCAAAATATTTAAACCAAAGGAGGTGAATCTTAATAACTAAATTTTAAACGAAGGTTAAAGGTCAGAAATAAATAAATGATACCTGGTTTATATGACACCTAGTTAATTCAAATATGTTAAAAGAGACAGAATGTTGAAAGAGTTTTTGATAATCTTAATATGTTAGGGAATAAATTCCAAATGAGGTAATTCCAAATAAAGAATTTTATTAGATTTTAAGTGCCTACCAAATCTTGTTTCATGTACCAAATACATACACACATTTTTATAGAATATTTAACAGTAAATAAAGCATTAAAACAGATCCTTTTAGAGTAAAATTAAACAAACAACATCAATTAATAAACAAACATATGATGATGGAAGCAAAAGCACATACTGTATGCAAGCAAAGCAATGAAATTAGAGAAAAAGCACATAGTGAACAGATGATTCAGATGCTGTTAAGATGAATAATGACCCAAACTGCTGTGATATGGGAGATATGGGAAACATTTTTCAAAAATCCAGTCATGTTACCAATCCACAGTTGAATTCCCCTTTTCCTTGTTTAAAATGGAATGATCTGAAAAACTAAAAAGATCTGACGTGGTTCTAAAAAGCCTCTTTTAAGTCATGGTTTTCATAACTTCCTGAAAATCTTGGACCCTTCACTACACTGTTCATAGGATTCTTTAGTTGTTCCCATTAATTGAGGTGATCTCATGTCCCATAGGTCACCTTCCCCGTCAAGGCATCAAAGTGTAGCTCTGCGCCTGGAATTAGACAGTGAATTTGCCAGTGTCACACAGCGTCTTAATACAGTAACGTTTAGTTGCCATTGGTGACTAAATATCATGATCATAGATTAAGTGATGTAAACATAGATGGCAAAGTCTGAATACTCCTGGTCTGTCATCTTGACTCATGAACAGGATGTGTGTGTGTGTTTGGTAAAACAGCGAATGTGAGGGGGACACTTTGTAAGTATGTGGACACTTCAACATGTAGTAATCTTAATCTGTTCCACACAGTAGCAAGTTGCTCCACCATTGACTTAAGATGAGCTCCCTCATCCTAATTAGAATTGGTTTATTGGGTAGATATGACAAACACACTTTGGGGTACAGTGCAGTGTTTGGCATGTCCCAAAACTACAGAATGAACTTCCATCCACAAGACCGACAGTTTTCAGAAACTCCTGCAGGTGTCTGATGATCATATAAGGACTCAATATGAAATAGGTCTATACATACAGTGCTGCTTGAAAGTCTGTGAACCCTTTAGAATTTTATTTTATATTTCTGTATAAATATGACCCAAAACAATTAGATTTTCACTCAAATCCTGAAAGTAGACAGAGAAGCCAATCAAATGTCATTTTTTTATTGAGAAAAATGATCTGGTGTTAAATATTTGTGAGTGGCAAAAGTATGTGTATCTTTGCTTTCAGTATCTGGTTTGAACCCCTTTTGCAGCAATAATTGCAAGTAACGTTTCTTGTAACTGCTGATCATCCTGCACAACGGCTTGCAGGAATTTTAGCCCATTCCTCAGTACAGAACCACTTCAACTCTGTGATGTTGGTGGGTTTCCTCCTATGAACTGCTTGCTTCAGGTACTTCCACAAAATTTCAATTGGATTAAGGTCCGGAATTTGACTCAGTCATTTCAAAACATTGGCTCAGTTTCTTTTCTCTCTTGCTCCGTTTTTTTCACAAGTTCATCAAACAACTGTGGTAAGTAAGAATCATTCATCAATCACGGTGAGTAAAGGCTTCTTCTCCTGCTATTGTTGTTTGCACCGCTTGCCATATGTATAGTTTATCTCTCTCTGTCGATGACGAGGGATTCACATGTGATAAATGCAGGGAAATAGTTAGGCTGACAGAGAAGATTTCAGAATTAGAGACACGCATCCAAACTTTAATTGAGGACAGTAAGAATGTGAGGGCTCTAGATACGGCTTTGGATGCGACTAGCTCAGGGAGTCCTGTGCATTGTTTGGTTCCGGTAACAGAGCCTCCGCAGAAGGGCAAGTGGGTGACTGTGAGGCGACAAAGTCGCGGGTCAAAACACCGCTCTTCCGTTCCGATCAAAACATTAAACAGGTTCTCCCCACTCAGTGACGCACCCACTGAGAAACATGATCAAAGTGCTCTAATTATTGGCGATTCTATTGTACGGAATGTGAAAATAGAGACACCAGCCACTATAGTCCAATGTTTACCGGGAGCCAGAGCGCCTGACATCTTGGCAAATTTAAAAGTGCCGGCTAAACGTAAATACAGTAAGATTGTTATTCACGCCGGCGCTAATGATGTTTGACTTCGCCAGTCGGAGATCACTAAAAATAACATTAAAGAGGTGTGTGAACTTGCAAGCATGATGTCAGACACTGTAATATGCTCTGGTCCCCTCCCTGCTTACCGTGGCGAAGAGATACTGTACATAGCAGACTCTCGTCACTCAACGGCTGGATGTCTAAGTGGTGCCCGCAGAATAACATAGGTTTCATAGATAATTGGATGAGTTTTTGGGGCAGACCTGACCTGTTGAAAAGAGATGGTCTTCATCCCTCCTGGGGTGGTGCCGCTCTTCTCTCTAGAAATATGGCACATAGTCTTAGAGTTTGTACTTGACTAACTGGGGCCCAGGTCAGGAAGCAGACAGACTGGCTAAACCAACCGTCTGCTAGCCGCCTCATGTCACAGAAATCAGTTAATTCTCAGCACATAGAAACTCTTTCACCTAGATATCACACTATAGAAATTTTGTCTGTTCCCCGAACTAGAAAATACAAAAAACATCTAAACCAATTTAAGAGTAACAGATTAATTGATGTTCAACAAATAAAAAACAGATGCAATACGGATAAACAAATGATAAAGCTTGGCTTATTGAATATCAGGTCCCTTCCTACGAAAGCACTTTTTGTAAATTATATGATCACTGATCATAAACTGGATGTGCTCTGTTTGACAGAAACCTGGCTAAAACCTGATGATTACATTATTTTAAATGAGTCTACCCCCCAAGATTACTGTTATAAACATGAGCCATGTTCAAAAGGTAAAGGGGGAGGTAATTTTGTCTGTTCCCCGAACTAGAAAATACAAAAAACATCTAAACCAATTTAAGAGTAACAGATTAATTGATGTTCAACAAATAAAAAACAGATGCAATACGGATAAACAAATGATAAAGCTTGGCTTATTGAATATCAGGTCCCTTCCTACGAAAGCACTTTTTGTAAATTATATGATCACTGATCATAAACTGGATGTGCTCTGTTTGACAGAAACCTGGCTAAAACCTGATGATTACATTATTTTAAATGAGTCTACCCCCCAAGATTACTGTTATAAACATGAGCCATGTTCAAAAGGTAAAGGGGGAGGTGTTGCTTCAATTTATAACAATGTTTTCAGTATTTCTCAGAGGGCGGGCTTCAAGTATAACTCGTTTAAAGTAATGGTGCTTCATATAACATTGTCCAGAGAAACAAGTGTTAATGATAAATTCCCTGTGTCGTTTGTACTGGCTACTGTATACAGGCCACCAGGGCACCATACAGACTTTATTAAAGAATGTGCTGATTTTATATCCGAATTAGTGCTGGCTGCAGATAAAGTTTTAATTGTTGGTGATTTTAATATCCATGCTGATAATGAAAAATATGCATTGGGATCAGCATTCATAGACATTCTGAACTCTATTGGGGTTAGACAACACGTGTCAGGACCTACTCATTGTCGAAATCATACTCTAGATTTAATACTGTCACATGGAATTGATGTTGATGGTGTTGAAATTATGCAGCCAAGCAATGATATTTCAGATCATTATTTAGTCTTGTGCAAACTTCATATAGCTAAAACTGTAAATTCTACTCCTTGTTACAAGTATGGTAGAACCATCACTTCTACCACAAAACACTGCTTTGTAAGTAATCTTCCTGATTTATCCCAATTCCTTAGCATATCCAAAACCTCAGAACAACTTGATGATGTAACAAAAACTATGGACTCTCTTTTTTCTAGCATTTTAAATACAGTTGCTCCTTTACGCTTAAGGAAGATTAAGGAAAACAGTCTGACACCGTGGTATAGTGAGCACACTCGCACCCTAAAGAGAGCAGCCCGGAAAATGGAGCGCAGTTGGAGGAAAACAAAACTAGAGGTATTTCATATTGCTTGGCGGGAAAGTAACCTCTCCTACAGAAAAGCATAAAAAACTGCTAGATCTGATTACTTTTCTTATCTTTTAGAAGAAAACAAACATAACCCCTGAAAAATGGTATCATAGTACTGAGACTGCTCTAATTAGAGTTACAAATGGCCTGCTCTTATCATCTGATTGTGGTTGTATCTCTCTATTAGTGCTATTGGATCTTAGCGCTGCATTCAACACTATTCTCTTGCATAGACTAGAAAACTTTGTTGGCATTAATGGAAGTGCATTAGCATGGTTCAAATCGTACTTATATGACCGCCATCAATTCGTGGACCAGATGCAGCAAAACAGGCCCAAACCATGATACTACCACCACCATGTTTCACAGATGGCATAAGGTTCTTGTGCTGGAATGCAGTGTTTTCTTTCTCCAAACATAACGCATTTCATTTAATCCAAAATGTTCTATTTTGGTCTCATCCATCCACAAAACATTTCTCCAGTATTCCTCTGGCTTGTCCACATGATCTTTAGCAAACTGCAGACTGGCAGCAATGTTCTTTTTGGAGAGCAGTGGCTTTCTCCTTGCGACTCTGCCATGGACACCATGGTTGTTCAGTGTTCTCCTGATGATGGACTCATAAACATTATCCAATGTGAGAAAGGCCTTAAGCTGCTTAGAAGTTAGCTTGCAGTCCTTTGAAACCTAGTGTTCTTTGTTGGTGGAGCACTCCTGGGGAAGGTAACAGTGGTCTTGAATTTCCTCCGTTTGTACACAATCTGTCTGACTGTGGATTTGTGGAGTCCAAACTCTTTAGAGATGGCAAACCTTTTCTAGCCTGATGAGCAACACCAACTCTTTTTCTGAGGTCCTCAGAGATCAAATTTTTTCGTGCCATGATACACTTCCACAAACATGACCAAACTTTGATAGATCCCTGTTCTTTAAATAAAACAGGGCAAACACACTGACACCTGATAGTCATCTCACTGATTAAAAACACCTCTGAACAGATGGACTCTAATTTCACCTTCAAATTAACAGCTAATCCTAGAGATTCACATACTTTTGCTGATCACAGATATGTAATATTGGATAATTTTCCTGAATAAATAAATGACAAAGTATATATGTCATCTCATTTGTTTGATTGGGTTCTCTTTGTCAATTTTCAGGACTTGCATGAAAATCTGATGATTTTTTTGGGGTTATATTTATGCAGCAATATAGACAATTCTAAAGGGTTCACAAACGTTCAAGCAGCACCACATATATATATATATATATATATAGTCAGGGTTGGTCAGTCTTGCAAGAGTTTGGGTCTGAACAGGTAATATAAATAACCACAACATGAACTGGTGAACTAGAGTGAAAAAATGAATGGAGTGGATGATGACTGTGGATGAACAAAAATAAAAATATAAAGAGACTACCTGTGTGGTCGCTATAATGGGTGTCATGGGTAAGACTCAGGGTTAAAGAGTCATCTGATTTAGGGCTTGCAGGCTTTCTGAGGAATGGTGAGAGAAAAACAAACAAATGTACTTATTAAATACTCTCCACTACCTAAATTTCCTGGTTTTCTATGAATATTACTCCTTTTAAAACAGATTTGTCTGTTTGGGACCACATGACTTGTAAAGGCATGGTCAGATGAGTGTAGCGACTATTAAATAACACAAAACCACCTCATCTTGTCTCTCTAATGCCTTCAACTCAGACCAACTTAAACATAAGCCAGTCGACTCACATTGATAGTTTGGCAGCCATCTCTCTTTTACCTGTGACAGAAAGAAAAGTTGAAAAGGAAATTTGGTTCACAGGTCAGACAGGTGATGCAGGGGGGCTGTAGGACTCTCTACCTCGCTTGGCCTTGTAGCGCATAACGATGAAAAGGACCAGCAGGGCCACTAAAAGCATGCAGAACGCAGCAATCAAAGCCTTTTTCCACTTTGCCAGGCTCACTATAGAGTGGACACATACAGAGAGAATGAGTAGATGGCAAACAACATGGACTTTCTTTTTTTACCTTACAGATTTTAGATGTTAGATAAAATGTTGCATATTTGGTTTCTTTAAAAGAATAGGTCACCAAAAAGTAAAAATCGCTTTTGAAATATTTATGATTTTCTTTCTTCCATGGAACACAGGAGGGGTTTTGAACTGCAGAATGTTCTTGCTGCGTTTTTCCAATATAATGAAACTGAAAGGTGACCATGGCTGTCAAACAATACTTTCATTGAATAACGATTTAAATGTCAATGTGTTCCTCACATAAACATACTGCATGGCTTCAAAAAATAACCATGACACATACTTTAGGCAAAGGTGGTTAAACAGCAGAGTGGCAGTGCCACTTTACAGGTAAGAAAAAAAGGCACATAGAGCATGTTATTCTATATGCACAGGCTCAAGAACAAAGTAAACTAAGTAAAGGATTCAAGATGGGTGCGATTTAACTTTTCACTCTCTGCAAAAAGTTTGAAATGAAGGTTTTTGAACGTCTTAAAGAGTGAACAAATGTAATGCAATCTCTCATAAAAACAGCACATGCAATAATCATAAAAGTTCAGAAAAAGACACTTTTTAAAATGTATTTATGTATTAAGTTTAAATGTTGTTTCATAAAATTGATTATAGTGTTGATGCTAAAGAAAGATAAATCTCACCTTCGACTGTGACTGTGTCACTCTTTATCAAAGCATCTGCCTGGTTATTTGCCTCACAATAATAATTTCCACTGTGCTGTCTATTTACTGCACTCAGATCATATGAGGATGAATTACTTTGAACTGTGATGCTGTAGATTTCTGTGCCACTGCCTCCATAAAAACTAAAACTAATAGGTGGAGAGCCTTTTGGAATGTTACATATCAGGGTAACATCACTGCCCTCTTCAATGTTTCCTGGAACTGGAATGACTGTCAGTAAGGGCTTCCCTACTGGAACTAAAAACAAGAGAACAGTAAACTCAATGAAGTAAACAGATTTTACGAAAAGACATAACATTATAAATAAGTGGTTCTCAACCAGGGGGCCAGGACTAACTAATAAACTGTTATAAACATAAAAATAGTCTAAACCCAATCAGGGGGGCTCTGAGTCAAAAAGGTTCAGAACCACAGCATTTAAATCATATAAATGAAATGACATTATAGTACAATCCACTGGACCCAAACTTTCCTTCTAAAATCCTGTTCAAACTATTGAAATATACTACATTGAAATGTAATACTATATTACATAGAATTAACACAATCAGTTACATTTGAATATGCACATGCAGAACTCAAAATGTTTTATATATGTCTTTCTTTAATCATTGGCTAATAATGATTTTAGATTCAAAATGTAAACAAATCAACTCTAAAATACTCAATAAATTCACAGATTCTATTTGTACACTACTGACTTCTTAGACCTCAAATATCTTTATGATGACCTCACCTATTACAGTCACATGCAGCCTTTCACTCATCTTGCTTGAGACTTGGCCATTATTCTCTGCTTCACACATATAACTGCTGATGTCCGAAGGAGTTGATATCATGGCTAAGAAACTAGCCTTCTCATGAAGGTCAGACACCTCAGTCCTGTTCAGGGTAATGTTGTTTCTCTTCAGTGAGTAGATAATTGGCAGACTTCCATTGTCAGAGTGGCAATGAATCCAAAATGACTCATTCATGATAACAGGACCATCAACTGAGATCTCAGGCTTTGAAACGAGAACTTAAGAGAAACAATGGTTAATTAACAAAAAAAGTGTTGTGTCTTTTATATTGATAATATTTTTTGTTTTCCTAGACAAAGTGGATGAGAAGGCACTGCCTACCTTTTGCTTCAAACAGCACCCTCTCGCTCTTTTTGATAATCCCTTTGGCTTCAGCAACACATATATATTTCCCATTGGACGCTTTGCCTGCAGTGCCACTGTATATGCTACCATTTATTACAGGTGTTTTGTCTTGGAATATTGAGTATCTTATATCATCCTTTCGAATCCTCTCCGAGGCAAAGCTGCTGATTTGACAGCCGATGGTGACGTGTTCTCCCTCAAAAACCTCAGTTGGGTGAATGCTCAGGAAAGGCATGGAGAAAAGCTCTGAGGCAAAAATATACAAACAGTTATCAAAGCATAATGTATTTAAAAGTGTTTGGGTAGACAAGACCAGACTGTGCTTAATGCTCACTGCCTTTCAGTATGAAAGCAAAAAAGGGTCTAAAATACATCTTCTAAGGTGTGACCGCAGCTAAGGATTTTCACACAAAAAAGTTTCAGCATCTGAAGACTTGTAATATAACATAAAATTCACATTGACCAATTTCTATAGCTTTATTATGCTATTTTTGTCCTTTCTGCATACTGATGACCCATGGTCATGAAGTTAATCTTATATTAAGGTGAAATTTCACAAAGAATACATTAGGAAATATTGATAAGCGTTCATTGTCTCTCACCTTTTACAGTGATGTTCATAGCGGAGGTTTTAGAAACACCACCAAGCCTTGAGATGCACTCATATTCCCCAGAGTCATTAGCCTTAGCAGACATTTTGTAATCTGTCTGTGTCATGTTCAAACTGAGCATGGTATGTCCATGGATGAGATTGATTTTGAGATCAGAATTTCTTTGGTAAGTCGTATCTACACTGCAGCTGAAGGTTATGAGATCTCCTTCAATGACATATGTTGATGGATTGACTTTAATATTGGGATTGATCTCCAGCTCTGAATTGGAAAGGAATGTGGACATGTTTACACTTCCTGGATGAACAAATATATTTATTATACAGTATACTATGAAAAATATATATTGACGTACCTTGAATGTCAAGACTGATCACATTACTGTCATTAGAGCGTTCTATTGTGCTATGCAATTTAACAGAATAGTAGCAAAATATATTCACAGTTCCTTTAGTAAGGGCTAGCTGCCGCTCAACTCGGTGACTGACTGTGCTCTCCGTGTAGAGTTCCTCAAATCCATCACTAAAGATAAATGTCAAAGAACCTATTTCTCCCTCTGCTGTACAGACAGCAGTAACATCATCTCCTTCTCTCAGTTTCAGTTTATCCACTGTTAGGACTGGTGTCTGAAGACCTGCAGAAACATCAGCAGATATTAGGATTCTGAGAGCAATTCTTCAACACATTGAACTGATGTGTTCCTCTACCTTTCACTGTCAGGTCTTTGACACTGCTCTCCTTCTTTTGCTCCTCAATGACAACAGCACATTTATATTTCCCAGAGTGGGCCATTCTGGCATCTGGTATAGAGTAGAGGTGGTCCGTAGAACTGGTCTGGTCAGTATTTAATGGCTGAAAATCTTTGTAGAAGTTGTATTTATAGTTTGGGTGAGACCCCAGCTTGTGGCTCACTTCTGCCTGACATTTCAATGACACATTTGTACCTCTTTCAATTTCGTTTCTCGGATGGATAATGAGTTGCACACTTTTTATGACAGACTCTGTGGAGAAATAAAGCAATTTTACCACTTAGATGGTGGTGGGTGTTTCAAGGAATGAGATTCTGCATCACAGAAATTAATTCCACTCAAACTGCTACTGGTTACAGTTTACACTGCAGCAGAAGACTGATTCAACTAAACTGTGGTGGTGTAAAATGTAATCAGATTTACTTCAATTAACTACTGAAGCCCTGAACTATCTTATGAGCATACTGATCTTAGCCCCTTAGTGGTTCATTTAGCATTGCATTTGATATTCTTACAACAGTCCTATTAGCCTTATTATCTGCCCCCCTTATTGGTGCCCTATGGTGTACATAAACGTTGGGGCGGATAGGAAAATAGTTAAACGTATTTAGAAGCTTCCATCTCTGGGGATGAGAGTTATTTTAGAAACGTCTATCTGCACCCATTCACACGCACAAATGGCAGAAACCAACACATAATTTCATAATTTTGCAATAATATGTATGTAATACTTATGTATGTAAGTTTCAATGCAGTTGCAGTTTCAATGTCACATTAACAATGAAACTACATTAAATATTTGGGTAGTTCACAAATGGACATGTAGAGTCAACATACAGTATAGATTAAACTGACAGACTTAACTTTTCTTTTCTAGTTCATTGTAATGGACCAGCGGTGTGACAGATTAATGCATTTTTATATTAATATTCCATATAAGCAAGCAAGTAAAGTAGTAGGTAAGTATGTAAAGTTCCAACTAATTAGTATTAGTGATGAAAATCTTTATTTGTAATAAACAGACCACACCGCAGGACTGAATAAATGAGCAGTTCCAAAAAGCTGTCAAAGTTAATAATATGAGCTAAAACTTATTACAATACACATAGCTTTACCAGTTATAATGATATGCAGATTATCAGATTTTGATTCAAGCTTATAATGTTTGGCTATCGAATTCTAAGAGCATCATGCCAAAAGCGAATGACGAATTACATCACACGGCTTACTTAAGTCCTCATGTCTCTACCACTTCCCACTACTTTCCAGAACCAGGGCATGTGACAATACACATAAACATGTTTTCAAAAACAAATAGTACAAAGTCACAAAATGTTTTTGTCCAAATTATAAGGATTTCTATTATTAATAAATGTGAGGTCAAACCGTTCCAAATCCCTATTACGATTGAATTTAACAAACCAAAATCAACCACTTCACACAGTAAAATTGTACAGATTCCACTGATAAATGACTATGATTAACATTTTGAAACTGAATAACTTAATACAAGGCTGAGAATTGTGTGATTTACAGACCTGCACAGGCTTCCTCTGCTGATGGTGTTATATGTTGTCAAAGACAGTTAGACCAAAAAAAGAAAGAAAAAAAGACAAAAATCAAGACAAGTTTATATCCAAACCAACCTTAACATCCACTTGAACCAGTATTGAGCGACTAGAAATAAAAGTGTCCTTACAGGTGAAGAGGAAGAGGAGGAGGTGGCACAAGGTGCCCATCTTTAGAGAGAGCTGAATCTTCACCCACATGGCTGAGCACTTCTAACTAGTGTGTACGCATGTTTTGCTGTAGAACAAAGTGAAGTGAAGAGCGAGGGAGGAGTTGTGTATGAAGGGCTTTACCTCTGCCTAGTTATCACTTCACACAGCCTCTGTTCTCTTAATTTCACAGGAAGTGAGTGTTGCTTCCTGGGGAAATGAGGCCCAGAGTTGGAATGTTCACTCTGGCTGGATTTGCGTCTCTCTGACGAAGCAGGAGGATGGTTCAGTGGACAGGAGTTGGAGGTGAACCTGTGTCATTACTCTTCAGGTAAAAGCCTTCTATTTCCAGTTGTAACCAGCAGAGAACAACAGAGAAATGCTTTAAAAAAAAAACTAAACTAAACTAAAACCCTAAAGTAAACTGCTCACTGATTACTACTTCTGTAACAGTGATTCTGTCTTTGAAAACAAGCAGAAGCCAAGTTCTCACATGGACGTGCATTGTTCCTGAAAACAAATGTTTTTCAAGAATGCAAGAATATATATATATAGTAATAATAGCACTTAACATAAAAAAACATGACATGTTGACCTAAGACAACATTAGGAGGACCTGGGAAAAATTATGACAGAAACAAATGGACAAATAAACAAAGTGACAAATACTGCAAATTGTACATTTACATTTCTGGTTTATTTGAATGCTTGCTATTCGTCTTTTAAACCATGGTGATTTATTTGAATGCTTGCTATTCGTCTTTTAAACCATGGTGAAAAAGCAGTCTACAGCCACAGAAAAACACCTGATTGTTTCAATTCATTTAACTAATTTATCTTTTTCTTTAAAATGTTAAAACCCAAAAGAGGATTAGTAGAGCAGTGATTTCCAATCTGGTGAAGGCAGAGTACATCCCCCACTCCCTGACAAGGAGCTGAAAATGTAATCTTATACTGGCACAATTCATGAACAAATCCACTGGTAAGTGCTAAACCAAATTCTCCTTTAGATGAAAACAAATGTCCAAAGGGGGCAGAAAATCTAAAAAGAGACTGAGAGTCCTAAGGAAAGGTGACGGACAAATAAAAGTGCTTTCTCTTTCCCTTCAGTGATTAATGCAACAACAGCAAGAGAATGGCAGCCACACCAAGAAATGCAAGCCAAAAATACAAACAAAGAAAAAAAGAAGGACAGTAAATGAAGAGATTAAATAAAATAAAAAAAAGTAAACTTATCTGGTTAAAAATAAAATACAGATATTACATAAACCATTAACAACATAACATTAACATTATCAGTGACACATCAGAAAAGCAGGGCACTAAAGTTGATGGAAAACTACATACAATGACGTTTTACCTTCATCATCTCATAATACAGAACAGTAGACTCAGGACTAGGGTAAATTCAACTAATCCCGGAGGTTAGCTTCAAAACATATTCTAATTCATTTTTTCTTCCATTCATCTATTTGATTTTATGCCATGAATTAAAAGTGTAATTTGATTGTGACATGATTCTCCCAGAAGTAACTGTCTATGAGCTGGGTGCATATTTCTCAATATTTGATCCAGGCCTGTTTCCATCAGTCACCTCATAATAAAAGTTCCCATTTGCTTGCAGAAATTTTTACTAGGATGTGAAAGGAAAAAGGAAAAAGCAAGCAAGCAAGCAAACAAAACACTCTGATCAGAGCTTGTACAAAAATAAATTTCCATCCTGATCCTCAACCCTTCGAGATTTATTAATTGGCTACTCAATCTATCAGCACCTTAAAATTCCTTACAAATTTCACTTCAACACTACTGATAAATTGTATTCACATTATGTACTCCAAATAATGCTCAACAATTAATATAAAAAAAACAAAAAAACAAAAAGCAAGGCTCCACCTGATTTTGCTGCTGTACAGAGAAAGTTCACCCAAAAATGAAAACAGAATTATTTACTTACCCGCATATTCTGCTAAACCTGTGTGACTTGGCAATTACGGTCTTAAATTTCCTGGTCCCCATCCATTTGAATTGAATGGAAAAGTAATTAAAATTTAATTAATATCTCCTTCGTGTTCCACAAAAAAAAAAAAAACGTCATGCAGGTTTGCAATGACATGCAGGTACATAAATGATAAAATGCTCATGTTTGGGTGAACTACCCCTTCAGGCTTTTAGTAAACACTTTCATTTTCATTCTTGAGTAAACAAATCAAAATTGTGCACGGTTGTGGGACACTGATGAAACCTCTGTAAAACACGAAATGTGATGATGATGAAGATGATGACCACTAGCTCAAGAGAACAAAAGCTTTGGCGCTGCTAAAGTAGGTAATGTGGCATTTCCAGCATGGAGAACAGATATTTCTTTTAACTAACTAAAACAGAGGCTCTGGCACAGTTTTAGTGGGCTATGTGTGTAAAGAGAGAAAAACTATTACATATGACTCCTGAATGCAAAACAAGATGTAAAGAAAAAAAAAAAAACAACCGTGGAAAACTTGAGGTTATTGTACTGCCCAGGCAAAAATAGATGGCAAACTCACTCTCTCTTATCTTTACATTTCTGTTGTGAAATCTATACAAATCTTTATCCTGATTATTTGAGCTTATCTTTAAGAACCTTGTGTTTCTCCCAGGCTCCACAGTTCTTAGTGTGGATGCAAATGAACAGCAGGCCCTGTTATCCGTGTCCAGTGCTTTGAGATCAGAGTTCTATGTGATGTTGAGGCATAAAACTACAATAAATTGTTGTGTTTTGATGCAGAGAGGGTTTGGCATAGTGTGTGTGTGAACATGTTAAGCATGGATGTGTGAGGGAGGTTGTGATTGGTGAGTAAGAACACCACATCTGTTGGCTATTTCTTCACACTAATTGCCCGCCTGCACACTTAAAAACTATGGATCTACAGCAAGATTGACAGAGTTTTTCAGAAGAGCACATCTCACTGTACTTCAGCAGAGATATGACGAGGCACGGGGCTTCACAGAGAACCCACTGAACAATAGGCCTTCCACAGTCAGCCTTAGGGAAGTTCGTCATTTCCTAGTCTCTTGTCTTCAACCTCTCTGACTCTGCAGGAGGTTATCAGTTCCAAGAAAAAGTTGGCTAGCATTGGCCAAACCATAAAGATTTGTTTTTAGATCTTTATATGCAATTTAAATAGTACACACTCCTCTACACAGCCTAGTCTACAATCAATAAATCCATAATGAGAATTATGTTGAGAATAATAATAATAATGGTTTTAATATAGTCATCATGTGTGGGTTGAGCAGCCTTCTTTAGACATTCATTGTGGTTGTTGCATATTTACAGGAAGTCATTTACATCCAAGGGGGGCAGCAGGGGTCAAAGGTGAGCAGTCATGATGTTATCTGAGTCTCTTCTCTGCTGAGTAGATGGACATGTAGTAGTCATTACTGCCCACGGCAAGATGAGGCTGATAAAGTAAAATAAAGAAAAATATAGTTTTTAATTTTCTAATACAAATGTTATAAAAGGTGTACAAAGTATGTTTTTGTTTTGTTGGCCAATACCACAGTGGCCTTACTGACATCTGTTAATGTGGATGTATGTAAAAGCTAATTTTTTTTACATTGGTTCCATTGTATAGATATAATAAAGGGAGGCATTACTGAGTTAATGTAGTATTTGGCTGGTCTTCCACCATTCCTTTAGCCATAGGTTTTGAAATCAAAATTTCAACATGTCAACTGGGAGAAAAAGTGTCCTTTTTATAAGTAGTCTCTGGAGGTTCAATTTATTCTAGTGATTTGGTTAGTTCGGATGGGTCATGTAATTCTAATGGTTCTAAAATAATTCACAGATTAATTGTAGCTTCTAAGTGACATTTTGTTTAGTATTAGTAAAATATGTACTTACATGCTGCTATTCATCACTACCATCAAGTTATAAATTTAAATATGTTTAATTATTGTAAATTTATTTGTTCAAGTTTTATGCCGTTATGCTAATTTTTGTTTTAGCATCATACTGCTAAAATAGTAAGTTATGTCATTCGATATATATAAAAATAAATAACTTCAATGTGGATAGCTACTTTTGTTAATAACTGGACTGTAGTTTATCTACTTTAATTTATGCGTAACTTGTAGCTTGACAACTTGCAGTTTCAAATGAGCTTTTCCAACACTGCAGCTCATAGTAATAAAGACTGTCTTCATTGAGAAATCTGTCTTACCCAGTAAGGGTGGAAGGCCAGGCAGCTGATGGCTCCAATTCTCTGCCCCATGAAACCATCATAGTATTTAATGTTGCTGATCACATCCCCATTGGAGTTATACACAGCTATAAACTGATTCATAGAGCCACTGGAGAGAGAAAGTGAGAGAACGAGAGAAAAATGGTTTTAAAAGAGGCATGAGTTACAAGCATATCAGGACTAGGGTTATTGCTCTGTCACAAGTGAGCAGATGTGATTCTGCGGGGACAATGCGGGACATGTGGGAGAGCAATAACTTATTATTATTAGACTATGTAAACATGTTATTTGTGACTGACTCTGTGCACTGGCACTCAATTTGCTCCGGTACGAGTGATAGCACGTGGCCTGTTCAGTCTACCATATATAATAAACTGAATATAATTATTGTAGAATTGAAATATATATATATTTTTGAAGCTGCTTTGAAACGATATGCATTGTGAAAAGCGTTATGCGTTGTGCAAGTGCACCTTAAACTCAACCAGAATGTGTCTTGAGAAGTGTGTATCTCTACTTTATAATGTGTGTCAGTTCAGTGAAAGTTCTGTGAAGTACATGTGGACCTTAATGCCAGGTGTATAGAGAGTCATGGATGCAAGGAAACATTTGTCTTCTGAGTTTATTTCTAAACAGCGACATTTTGCACAATAGAACTAATTGTATAAATTATGTATAAGGTGCAGGTGCATCTCTCACCAAGCGAACAAGTTTGCCTGTGGATGGATGTCCAGAGCCGTCAGTCCTTTCACTGTCTGCAAGATGTTAATTGATTCTGGTGTCCGTGGGTCAAAGAACCGCACATCTCCATTAACACTACAAGAGAGGAGAACTAACTTGTGAGCTAAATACAAGAAGGGCATGAGGTATATTCTTTAAATGAAATAAGAGAAATTATGTCAGAGAGAAAAGCAGTTACCTGACACTGATAATGTGTCCCTCAGGCTCCTTCTGCAGATGTGCCTTCACCACCCAAGCACCGTGTTCCCTATAAGTCATCACACGACTGTAGAAAGAGATAGTTGATTAGTATAAGCAGTTACAGTCCCCAAAATTTAGGCAGCATTGTTAAACTAGAGACCACTAGAGGGCGCTGCAGGGACGCACTGCACCAGAACACAGAATAACAACGATCTCTCTAGTAACAGCATAGTGGATAAATAACTAATTCTTTAGAAGGGTGTTTCTTCCACTACTGCCATTTTTGGCACTGTGGACTTTCAAAAGATCACTCAAAAGTCAGGGTTATTAAGAGTTATTTATTGATTGATTGGTTGGTTGGTTGATTGATTGATGAAAGAAATTAATTATTTTATTCAGCATGGATGCATTAAAGGGACAGCCCCCCCCCCCCCCCCCCCAAAAAAAATTATAATAATACATTTTGAAAAATCTTTTACTCCATTCTCAAATCTTTTATTGTCATTCCAAACATATATGCATTTTTTTTTTACATTTTGAAGAATGTTGATAACCACACAGTTTCAGTTCCTGTTGAGTTATTTTTGTTCATACATGTAAATACAGTAAACAGGAACTAAAAGTGGTTCCTATTCCAACATTCTTCAAAACATCATCTTTTGTGATCCACAGATGAAATAAATCATACAGGTCATACTGGAATGACAGAATTTTCAAATAAATGCTGATTTTTTAAGCTTTCTGCTTATCAAATAATCCTTAAAAAACTATAATGTTTTCACAAAAACATTAAGCAACACAAATGCTTTTGACATTGATAATAATAAGAAACGTTTCTTGAGGAGCACATCAGCATATTAAAATTACTTCTGAAGAATCATGTGATCAGCTTTGGCATTACAGGAATAAATTACATTTTAAAATCTTAAAATAAAAAATAGTAATATTTTTAAACAAATAAATGCAGCCTTGATGAAGAGATATTTAAAAAACGTTTAAACATTTTACTGACCCAAAAATGATGAATGGTTGTTTAAATAAATTCCTTCAGAAGAAACTTTTCACACTATTTAATTTGTCTACTAACAATGTTCAACAGAGTATTTAACAGAATCACAGGGGAATTTGTTGGAATTTTGACTTTTCATTTCCATCATAGTATAATTTACATAGCATCTTAAATTTCATATTGTCTTTAAATACATTTTTGGATGGAAATAACTTTTCAATGTATCCTACTTGCATACAATTACAGTATGACTGGAAATAATGCATAACAAATGTATTGTTCATAACTGATATTTACTTTGATTTCTCTTAATTTTCTTCAAACATCATGATATATTTTAAGCATGCTCTTTACTGACGCTGTCTCTTTGGTAACCAAGAACACCAGATTCTGAGGGGTTGGGGGAGAAATAGTGGCAAAATGGTGGAAATTATATATATATATATATATATATATATATATATATATATAAACTGTGTGTATATATATATGTCTATATTATTTTATTATTATTATTTTTTTGTGTATATAGATGATCAGTTTTAAAATGTAATAATAGTTGCATGAAAGATTTTTAAAATTATAAGTATGACAGCATGATTCTGGGAAAAGGGTGAAAAAAAAATCTGTATTTAATAAACACTTTTAAAAGTAGCTAGAAGAAACCACCTTTAAACTAGACTGAAACATGACCATGAGCACTCCAGCAATGCTACTGGAGGCAAGGAAGTTCTCTTACAGACATATTCCTCTGTGACAAAACTTCAGCATGTCAGAGGTCATGATGCAAGTTCACTTCGATTTCATTAAGCAATTTAAGTGCAGTGGTTGCCAGACTGCAAGCAAATTAAGGAAAATGAACTCAACAACAGTGTGACGCAGGAAATGTCAGAATGAGCTGTGGGACACAGAGGTGGAGTGTTTAAAGGTGCATGAAAGCAAAGAAATAATAAGGCACGGAAGAGAGCTGACACATGTGACTAGCACAGGAAAAATCTTGAGCATTTGGAAATGCTAGAGCCAGAGGGAGTTGTTACATTAGCATTATTTAAATATTCATAGGCCTTTTTATGACTTAATTACAATATTTTCTCATGGAGTTTATGGGTGAGTGCATGTGGACACACAGAGATGCGAGTTACTGTTACAGATACTTTTATTTAACCAAGACCAAATGCAAAATAAAACAAGCTCAGTGGTGCAGGACAAGAGTGAAATTGCGTATAGCCACAAGATTCATGCTTAATCATTTTCTGATCTAGCCAGTTAGAAATTACTTTGAGATTTTGAGATTTATGGAGCCATACTAGTTGTGACGGCACATCAGAGATAAATACATTTATTATTCAGTAATATGACTCTTTTCAAAAGTCTCTGATGGTTGATTCAGTGTTTTGATTTTACCCAAAAGTCAATAACAGCTCATTCCTTAATGATCCATCTCACATGATTGTTAGTGAAAGTCTCTGAGAGTTGGTTCAATATTGTAATTCAGGTGAGGTGCGTGCGTTTGATAGGTTAGTGATTGTACACAGAGATCTGTGAATGCTGACACACCATTCGTTAGGTCCCATTCTGCGGTCGTACACTCGAACCGATCCGTCTCCAAGACCTGCAGCTACCAGTGACCGCTGAGGATCACATGACAGGCTGGTCACACAGCTGTCTGCTCCTGTTGGTATGTCCTGCAACACAGACACAAAAGCTGAATTAGTTTTTGGAGGAGTGCAGTTAAATATCATTTAAATACTAAAGCATTTCAATACCATACTAAGACATATTATTGGGAGATAAAAGTGACAACTCATATTAATATGCATTTTATGTAAAATTTCATTGATTTACAAGCTATCTGTATTATTTTACTTTTTGGTCATATAAATATCAGCAACTGCATGTAAATATCAGCAAACAAATTTAATAGTTTCCCTCAGTTTGGGCCTCTGAATAAAACTGATTTTATAAATAGATTTACAATGGTCGCTTTGGTTAGACAATGGTTGCTCCAGTGCAGACACAGTGTAAAGGCTCAATAAACTGTATTTCGAAAAATTGATTTTTAGTAAACATTAGAGTATGTTGCGATTCATTACTTCAAGACGTATCATAATATTATAATTGGATCACATCTGAAACTGCATCACAAGTGTGAGAGAGACACAGCCTATGAGAATGGAACAGCAGGATCAGTTTCTATCGTTTCGAGTGTGGTTTGCTTCACATTTGTCCAGTACGGCTTCTCATAAAAGCAAGTCTGACTGCAGAGTGAAATGCCAGCTTTAGAGTTTCTGCTTTAGACAAATTGCTAAATTGAACTGAATGACTGCTCACCAAAAACAATGACACAAGGTTCTGCAGTATCAATCAATGGAAACGTTCATGTAGGAAATTTGAAAAGTTGTAATATTAGGCAGAGAGGGAAAGCAGAGAGGCCAGAGAGAGACTAATAGGGAAGAACGTTTTATTTAACTACAAAGCAAAGACAGTGGTGCACATATATGATGGCACTACAAATCTCATCTGGAACCGATGTTTTTAAGGTGAATGTGTGTGTATTTGTGTGTGTGTGTGCCTGTGCAACTCAGCCAGTACCTGCACTTTCATTTCCCTTTCTGTGTCCCAGATCCGTATGACTCGAACATCACCTGACGTCATCAAGAGGCCAGTCTCCTGCTCCCAGTCCACCACCATACCTGCACCTTCAAAAGAGAGTACAGAAGGTTTACACACATACACAATCAAATATACAACTCTCTGGGCTCTCCTGACATGTCTGTAAGTTATGAAAAAAGATAATACAGTCACACATTCACCTTTTGGTTTTCATTTCTTTCAGAACAAAAATGTTGGTAAATGCACCACTTTCTCAAAGATGCACACCTCTTAAAGTTTAAACCAAATAAAGAAAAGAAAGAAAGAATAAATCAATAAATCAAAGCCACATATGGGGCTGGATTAAAAAAAGATCAAGATCAGCAAATCTTAAACTGAACCTTTTAGCTTGCAAAAGCACTAACTCGCATCTTCAGAAGTGGTTAAGTGGTCTATGGTCCAGGGCCATTCTTATGGCAGTAAGAACGATGTGAACAGAGATGGAGGAATTACAAAGATCACTTAAAAAAAAAACTATAAACCAGCAGACACATTCATACGACTGTCAATGTGTTAATTTCAGGATTAAGTGGCAATTTATTCATTTGGCGAGTTATTCATGCTGACGCCAATCAAAGATAAGATGATTTCATTTATGATCCAGTAACAGGATTCTCTTTGAGAGACTCAGCTGTCTGATTCTCCTTTGTAGATTAGCTGTCATTGTAAATAACAAAACGATTTCATTAGTGTGCGGATAATATAGATTATAGACAGCAACTGTAGATTAAATGAATAAAATATAGATAAAATGTAGTATAAATGGGAAAAAAAAAACTTCACTTCAAGATCCAAATTTAACAATGAACATCAAAAGGCAACCTAACAGACTTTATTGTAAAAAAAAAATCAGTCATAGCAAACTACGTTTTTGGTTGTTTCTTGTATTTAATGCTGTGTGAGTCATATTTTCTCTTGTGTTTACCTATGGTTTTCAAGGATAAGGACTTGTGTATGTAAACATACACCCAAACACCACAGACTTACATGCTTGTTGAACATTTAAAGGGGTCATATGATGCTTTTTTAAAGATCATTATTTTGTGTATTTGGTGTAACAGAATATGTTGACATGCTTTAATGTTCAAAAAACACATTATTTTTCAAATACTGTACATTATTGTAGGTCCTCTATGACCCGCCTCTCTCAAACGCTTTCTACAAAATCCCTCCTTCCGACAAGCGCAGTCTGCTCTGATTGGCCAGCTGACCCAGTGCATTGTGATTGGCCGAACACCGCAAGCACTCGTCGGAAATGTAACGCCCCTTACCATAATCGCGAGCTTCATCTTTCAAAATAATCTCTCTATCTCTCTCTCTCTCGGTCTCTCTCTCGTGCTCTCTCTCTCTCCCTTGCGCGCTCTCTCTCATACACACACACAGACACACGATGCGCAAAACTCCGCATTTGAACAGTCAATAGCAAATACTTAAACTAATAACAAAACAGTAGCTGATTCAGAAGCGCCAGATTGTCATAGCAAAGTTAGAATTACCTCCTCTCCTAGGTTCACGAAACGGTCGTCCATAAAATGCATTGCTGTTCTGTTGTAAGTAATCTTAAAGATTCCTAAATGCATCTACTTTCGGAAGGCCAAATAAAGTGCTTTTGCTTTCGCCTAGAAACACACAGCATCTCCCTGACATGGCTGCTTTAACACTAACTGCGGTTACTGAAACCACGCCTTCTTTCTTTGCGTGAACATTTGGGCGGCATTATGCAAATATTTCCACATAGTGAGGTAGATATGTGGGGGCGTGTTCGAACGAGCCGGTTTAGGGGGGCGTGGCAGAGTCTTAACTTTGATAAAGAATATCTCTTTGGTTTTGAGACTTTAGTCTTTGCAACTTCAGGGATTTTATCTATGCACAATCAGCTTGTAACACTCCAAAGAGAAAGGAAAACTTGAAATCGCATCATATGACCCCTTTAATGTCAAATGTGCATTAACAAGGAGTTGATTTTCCTTTTGCTGCTATAATAGCTTCCACTTTTCTGAAAGGCATTCCATTAGAACATGTGATTTTCTTGCATTTAGACATAAGAGCAGATTATTCAGCACCAGACATTGATTTTGGCATTGCAATTCAACCCAGAATGTTCAGTGGGGTTCAGGTCTTTGTGCAGGCCAGTTAAGTGCCTCCACACTAGAGTTTTCTCTATGGACCTTGCTTGTACATTGAGGCACTGTCATTTAAATGTCTTTAGAATGTCACTGTATGAAGTAGCATGAGTAGATTTGTTTTCACTGGAATAGCCAAACCTGCTAATTACAAGCAGGTGTCCACATATAAAGTTTATAGGTGCGTCCCAAATTGCGTACTTATGCACTATTCTATGACGTTTTGTAGTATAAATAGTGCAAGTAGTGTGTTCACACTGAAAATTCCAAAAAGAAAAAGTGCACTTTAAATACCCGGATGATGCACTTAAATAACCGAAAAAACGAAGTGTGGAATGTTGGACATTTCATGCACTCAATTTTGTTGCAAAGGGGGAGGGGCTATCAGACTCCGATTATGAATGGCAAAATAACCTTATGAAATTCATACACTACATGGTTGAGTACATAGTGCATAAGTACATAGTGTATAAATGCATAGTGTGTCATTTGGGATGCAGTGTCTATGAAGACTTGAGATTTTAACAGCTCATTTTGTGCACAAATGCACTCATATTTTAGTAAGAGTGCTGAGAATTCAAGTGTCTGGGTCTATTGGTTCTGGTTTCTGGTTTCCACTTGATTAGGAAACAGACTGAGAGTGAGAGACTCAGGTTCAGGTTGAGTTCTGTCTTAAAATTTGACAGCACTGGTCAGGTCACAGGGCTTCCAGCTTCAGCTTATTGCCTGAGTAGACCTCTAGATTAAACTGACCAAAACCAACTTCCAATTTACTGCAAAGCTTCTGCTCTCACGCTATTGGCACCTTCTGAAGGACAAGAGGGGTCCTGACTGATCTGGAGCCCTGGTTCAGTTCTGACTGACTGGCTGTCATTCTCTGATTCTATTCAATCAATAGAGAAAAGAACAACCTTATATGAGTGTCCCAAACACACAGCCAAAAGTTATGTGGATCAGGACATGTTGGAAGTGTAGCACTGCTGCCCTACTTTCTGCTGTCTATCAAAAATCCAATCTTAGGGAAGAGAACCCCCCCCCCCCCCCCCCAATACATAGATATTCTTATCAATACAAACATATATAATACACAATATACACCTGTGTGAACACACACAAATTCTGATTCAAGAAAGATTAACACACACACTGTGATGTAGCTCAGGGAATATTACAAAATGCAAACGTTTATACAACATTTTCATTACCTTTCTTCAGATGTGTGTTATAATAAACAAGAGCAAAAAGCTCACACAAAATTCACAAATTTCAACAAAAATGCTATGATCATCATTGATAAATACCTACAGTCTCTATATCTCCTGTGTGTTTGTAAATTTTGCTTTCATCAACTAAATTGAGCACCAGACTAAAATTAGTTTCTCTACTAAAATGAGCTCTGTACTAAAGCTACTTTTACTTACTTTCTACAGAATTGTGCCTATTTTTTCACCAAAAATAGTGCTTAAAATGAAGAAGGAAAAAAATTTAATACTGGTAAGCTTTGACTTCCACCAATCAGAATTTAAATATTAATTAAAAGAGCCAATCGGATGAATGCAGAGAAAAATGTTAGGCTATAATTGGGAATGGGAAAACGTACTCGGTTACTAACGTAACCTCGGTTCCCTGAGATACGGGAACGAGTACTGCTTCTTGCTTAAGACGCATATGGGAAAAAAGCCTTTTTTCTCCTGAACTGAAGCCTATTTCATTCACGCAGTGAAACTGCACGGCCATTGGTTCGTGCAGGGCTTTAAAAACGAACCAATGGCGCGGCAGCGGAGCTGCACGAGCCTATGACGACGAAGCCCGAACAAAGCCCGCCAGAATTGGCGGGCCATCTGGCTATATAAGCGGGCGCTCGCCACAGGATTCTCAGGTTTACTTCGACTGAAGCGACGACTGAGTCGTGCAGCTACATAGCACGGCTAGCAACGCAGTACTCGTTCCCATATCTCAGGGAACCGAGGTTACGTTAGTAACCGAGTACGTTCCCTTTCGGTGCTTCACTCGTACTGCGTCTTGCTTAAGGGAAGACGCATGGGAACAGTCCAATCACGCTGTGCTAATGTAGTGGAACGACTAAAAGGTATAACACCCATAAGCAACCAATGCTTATAGAGAAGTCAACAATAACCCAAGGCTAAGCGGGCTGAGTTAATCGTTCCAGAGTATACCCGTAACTTTGACACCCAGGGGTCGAGAACTAACAGGTGAACAATACCAGAGAACTTGGGCGCGGCACGGCACGGCCAAGGGCTCTCTGTCATGTCTGTTTACACAGCGCATGCCATTTCAAGCGGAAAGGATCCTGGCCTGTAAGGCCGGGACTTCCAGGTTATAAAACCTCGCAAATGTGGATGGCAAGGCCCAGCCGGCCGCCTCACAAATATCCGCAATGGACACACCACTGGACCATGCCCACGACAAGGCGATGCCTCTAGTCGAGTGGGCCCATACTCCAATGGGGCATTGGAGGCCCAAGGAAGAGTATGCTAGCGAGATGGTGTCTACTATCCATCTAGAGAGTCTTTGCTTCATAACCAGAAACCCCTTGGTGCAGTTACCGAAGCTGACAAAGAGTTGTTGTCGATCGCCTATAGGGAGCGGAACCCTCAATATAGATTCTCAACGCCCTGACGGGGCAGAGCAGAGATAGCTCTCTGTCTTCTTCAGTTGGAGGAAGCGCGGAGAGCGTAATGACCTGTGCTCTGAACGTAGTGGAGAGCACTTTAGGTACGTAACCGTGCCTCAGTTTCAGTACGACTTTAGAGTCGTTAGGCCAGAATTCCAGACAGGCAGGGTTAATTGAGAGTGCCTGCAGGTCTCCTATTCGCTTTACTGATGCTAGTGCTAGAAGCAGAGCAGTCTTTAGCGATAGCGAACTAATGTTGGCGGCTTGTAGCGGCTTGAAAGCGGGGCCCTTCAGGGCCCTCAGCACAGTGGGCATGTCCCCATGAAGGGACGGTAGGGGGACGAGGCGGATTCAGCCTCCTTGCACCCTTCAGGAAGCGGATGACCGCGCTATTTTTGCCCACTGATTGGCCCTCAATAGGGACATGAGAGGCCGCTATAGCCGCCACATAGACTTTGAGCGTGGATGGGGAGCGACCCTTATCCAGCAGCTCTTATAGAAAAGACAGCACCTCTGCTAATTCGGAAGTGAGAGGGTCTTTGCCGCGGTTTAAACACCAGGCGGAGAAAAAAAGACCACTTTAAGGCATAGAGGTGTCTCGTAGACGGCGCTCTAGCCTCCGAAATTGTGTTTAAGACTCGCTCTGGGAGGCACGAAGGCTTCCGTTGAGCGGCCAGAGGTGCAGGGCCCATAGGTTGGGCCGAGGATGACATAATGTCCCGTTCGCTTGAGAGAGGAGATCCTATCTCAGTGGAACAGGCCAAGGGGCCGCTATCAGTAGCTGAGTCAGCTCTGATAGCCACAGCTGGTTCATCCACAGGAGGGCTACCAGGAGAACCCTGTGTTTTTGTTCCCTCACTCGCCTGATTACCTGTGGGGTCAGAGCGATCGGAGGAATGCGTAAAGAAGGAGGTTGGGCCAATCGTGGGCCAGCGTCCTTGGTCTTTGAGAAATAAATTTGGCAGTGAGAGTTGTCTTCTGAGGCGAAGAGGTCTACCTCGGCCTCGCCGAAGATCTCACAGATTTTCTTAACCGTTTGCGGATGGTGCGTCCACTCTCCTGAGGGGACAATGCTCCTTGATAACATGTCCGCTCCTCGGTTCAATTTGCCCGGTATATGCGCTGCCTTTAGCGAGCGCAGGTTGGGTTGAGCCCACTCTAAGAAGCGCTCCACTAGCATGAAGAGGCGCTTTGAAGAGAGGCCTCCCTGGTGATTTATGTAGGACACAACCGACATGTTGTCCGATTGGATTAGCACATGGTGCCCTTTCAGGACTGGCAGGAAGAACTGACAGGCTCGACATACTGCTAACATTTCCAGGCAGTTGATGTGGAAGCCTTTTTCCGCCATCGACCAGTGGCCAAAGGTCGGTATGCCCTCGCACAGCGCCCCCCAACCTGAGTTGGAGGCGTCTGTCGTGACAACTGTCCTTCTGTGAACCATCCCCATGGCCACGCCCTGTTCTATCCAATGGGAGTTCTTCCAGTCGTCGAGGTGATTGATAATACGGACTTCCATCTGTCTAAGAGGGGAAAGAGCCACATCCATGCACTTCGTAAAGGTGCGGGGAGCCAGGGACAGCCCGAAGGCAAGGACCGTATATTGATAAGCCACACCCTCGAAGGCGAATCTCAAGAATGGCCTGTGACGAGGGGCTATCTGGATGTGAAAGTATGCATCCTTCAGGTCCAGGGAAAAGAACCAGTCTCTCGAGTGAATTTGCGTGAGAATCTGTTTCAGTGTAATCATCCTGAACGACCTCCTTATGAGGGCGCGATTCAGGTGTCTGAGATCGAGGATGGGCCGGAGGCCACCATCTCTTTTGAGGACGAGGAAGTAATGGCTGTAAAGGCCTGTCTCGCTCTGGGCTGGAGGAGCCCTTTCCACAGCTCCTTTTGTCAGCAAATTCATCACCTCCGAGCGCAGGACATGGGCGTCCTATGCCGCTGAAGCGCGGGGGTCTTCGAGCGAATTGGAGTGAATATCCTCGCTTTATTATGCCCATAACCCATTCCGACACCCGGAGATGGCCTGCCAGGCCTCGGCCCGCGTGACAAGGGGTTGAATTAACTCGGGCGACTGGCCGCATGGGGGCAGAACACGTACGAGTGATGGAAGAGGAAGTTTGCTCTCTTTTTGAAAATGTTTGTGTTTTATTATTTTTCCCACTATCACAACGGTCGGATACTTGGACGCATGAACTGGCCCGTTGTTTGCACAAAACACATTTCCCTCTGTACCCGGAGCTGAACGAGGTGTCAAGAGGTGTAAGAGAGGCTGCATGAGGGGCGGTCTGGCCGTGGCGAGATCTGACCCCATCCTCTTCCTATAACATGGACCAGGATGACGCCTGAGGCGCTGGGTCCAATGCAATCTTGGGTCGGGGTCCCTGGCACTTAGGAGGAGGGTAGCGTCTGGCCGAGCGAGAGCGTCCCCGCGTCTGCTGCGCTTTAGCGGGCTGAACAGTGGGGGTGGCAGGTGCTGGTTTCGCAGGCTGCTGAGTCGGTGCAGATTTTGAGCGAGCTGAGACGGCAGCGGAGCTGGAGCGCTTAGGCAGGAAATGTCACATAGCCTGGGACGATTTCTGTGCCTCCGTGAAGCATTCAGGAAACCCTTCGACCGCTGGGCCGAAAAGGCTCTTGGGGGAGACAGGAGCATCGAGGAAGGGGATCTTATCTGCGTCCTTCATCTACGTCAGCGTCAACCATAAATGGCGCTCGAGCACCACAAGGCTGGCCATCAATCTCCCAATCGCCTTGGCAGTGGTCTTGGTGGCGCGTAGAGCTAGGTCCGTCGCGCTCCTCAGATCACTGAGGGTAGCGGGGTCCCGGCCAGACACGGCGGATGCGAGGATTTTGGCCTGGAAGACCTGAAGGACCGCCATAGAATGAAGCGCCGCGGCCGCCTATCCAGCTGAGGTGTAGGCGCGTCCAGCGAGAGCTGAAATAGTCATACATGGCTTAGATGGGTGAGCGGCCTTTGCTCTCCAGCCGATGGCCGTGGGCGGGCAGAGATGCGCGGCCACTGACTCATCTAGGGGAGGCGGCTTATCGTACCCTTTTCTTCAGCGCCGTCGATGGAGGTGAGGGCGGATGAAGAGGCCGGAGGCGGGCGGAGTATGGAGTGCACCACGATCTGGTGAGCTCATCGTGGACCTCCGGGAAGAATGGAGAGGTACGCTGACGAGGGGCCTGTCGGCGCCTCGGCAGGAACCATTCGTCCAGACGGCTGCGAGAGGGCTCCTCTGGAGGGGACCACTCTAAACCCAGCTCTTCGACCGCCTTGGAGAGGATATGGAGAAGCTCGGTATCCATTCCGTCTTTGGTGGCGCTGGGCGCGGATGATGGCGAGGGGGGGAGGTCATTTTCCGAGCCCAACAGCTCCTCTGCATCCGATGCTGCCAGTGACATGCTGTCATCGAGCAGCTCATCTCCACTTCCCCCGAATGAGATCAGGTCGCTCGCATCAGCAGAGGGACGCTGATCAGACCGGGAGAAAAGTACAGGTGAACACTCTCTCTGCGGCGAGAGCGAGGCACGCGGGACCTGGGCCGGCGTAAGCTCGCTCGTGGCCGATCGCTCGATCCTTTTGCCCCGCTGTTTTTTCCTCACAGGTCCCTGGGAGGAAGAAAACGGGAGGGCGCGGGGGGCGGAGTCGCTCTCTGAAAAGAAAGCGATCCGTGAGCGGAGAGAGGCGAGACTAAAACTCTCGCAATGAGAGCAAATAGCTCCCGTGAGCGCAGCTTCCGCATGGGGTTTCCCCAAGCAGGAAATGCACTCCTTGTGGCCATCATCGGCATGCAGGGGAGACCCGCACGAGCCGCAATAACGCAATAACAGCATTTGCAACAATGCCGCTGCTCTTTTAGAAGCTCTTTGAAGTCGCCGGATGGCGGCAGGGGAACCGGACCGGAACTGCTACGTCGCTGAAGAAGAGGAGAAGCAGGTCAGCCGAGCTGAGAGGTCCCGATTCCAGCTGCGAAGGCGTGTCAACGGTGAGCGGCTTCGGATCAGCTTGAGATGTAGAGTTGTCACTGAAGGAGAAAAAAATCTGAGAATCCTGTGGCGAGCGCCCACTTATATAGGCAGATGCCCCGCCCATTCTGGCGGGCTTTGTCGCTATAGGCTCATGCAGCTCCGCTGCCGCGCCATTGGTTCGTTTTTAAAGCCCTGCACGAACCAATGGCCGTGCAGTTTCACTGCGTGAATGAAATAGGCTTCAGTTCAGGAGAAAAAAGGCTTTTTTCCCATATGCGTCTTAAGCAAGACGCAGTACGAGTGAAGTATCGAAAGGGAACATTAGATGCTCAGTGTCACATGTGCAAACACCAAATAGAGGTGAAGGAAAAGAAGAGAGAGAAGCACTCACCTCCCTGCTTACTTCTGTCAAGATAGATTGAGACCCGTCGGGTCAAACCTGTGAAAGGAGAAGAGGAAGAGAAGGGAAGAGCACAGGAAGGAGATCAGGAGGGCCGGTCAGTTTATCAGCCAGAAGACACCACCATGTTAGCACACATGTAAATACACATCAGAATGTGATCTGTAGCCTTGTCCCAAATAGGGCACTTCATGTGCACTTGTGGTCTTGCAATAGCTTTTATACAAATGTCAGAAAAGTCCACAAGATGGTAGGGTGTTTCATCTTTCAATTTAGAATGCCTCCATAGTGATTACCATACACTCTCAATTCACACTTGGCCTATCAACACTTTATATGTGGCATTACATGATTAAAGTATGGCACAAGGTTTCAGGGTAGCATTTGGGACTGGGCCTATCAGACTCACAGTTTTACATGGAAACGGGCGCTCTCCCACACACACACACAGATATGATCCACACTCATTTTCCACCTGAATTTAATTCCCCTCATATCTTATCTACATCCACACATACACACACTGCAGGAAAGTGAGGGAGAACAAGGCTGTGGTTTCTCAGCATGACATCTGCCAAGTAAATCAGGTTTTCTCACAGGGAGCCGAATAGCAAGGCTGAAATCAGTTCCCAGAGCCAAAACTTTGCTCATCCATCTTAAAGTAGCACAGATGTACAGGAGTTCTTCAGGAAAGCCAGAAGCTCAAGAATCTTCTTGCGTTCGGATGTACGTGACTGAGATCTTCTCCTGCCATTAAGGTTTTTATTGTGAAAGAGTCATTCATTGGGTTATTATCCCAGGTATTTCTTTTTATTATTATTTGGTTATGATCTGAATTAATTTCATTTGGGAAATATATATATACAGTGGGTACGGAAAGTATTCAGACCCCCTTAAATTTTTCACTCTTTGTTATCAACACCAACACCAACAACAACAACAACAACAACAACAGGTAAATTAAACAGTGGTGGACAGTAACGGAGTAGTTTTACTTCGTTAATGTAATTAAGTACATTTTTCAAGTATCTGTACTTTACTGGAGTAGTTTTATTTTGAGTAACTTTTACTTTTACTTCACTACATTCCAAAGCATGAGATCGTACTTTTTACTTTACTACGTTTTATTTCATAAAACATATCGTAACTCCTTATAATATATCACGTGCGCCAACACGCAGAAGCGGTGTCTGATTCAAGAACGAACTGATTCTTTTCAATTAACCTTTCAAATCGGTTCGCAATTCGCACCAAACAATTCATTCACGAATTAGAATGATCCGATTGCAGCTGTTCTCGAGTCGACAACTCACTGATTCAAATGAACCGTTTAGTGCGAGTCTCCAGTGTGGAAAGGTCTAAAACTCCTAAATAGATATTTTACCACAGTTTTTTGTTAAAAATTATGTAGGAAAAGTAATAGATTAATTTATGACAAGAGTGCAGCTCAAAAATCTACATCATAACAGGAGTTCTGACCTTTGTCACAAAAAGTCTTCTTCGTTGCCTTTTTCTCTATCACACTTTAGAAATAATCAGATATTATATATCAACTGAAAAAAACTTAAAATCTCAAAATTCATTGAAAACCATTTTAAAATCAGACATTGCATTACCATGAAAATGGTACATCAAAATCATGTTACAAAATGTTTTCATTCATGAATTATAAAAAATTTAAGTTTGGATAGTGCACTTTCACTTCTATGTTCAAAAATGTGAGTGACAGTTAAGGGGTTAAGCCCACTGAAATGTTTGAATGCAGACACATCAACATCTGTGTCTCTATGTTTTAGGACAAAAAAACTTTAATATATAAAAAACTATATAAAATATTAAAAACTTAATATACATTGTTTTATTGTTTGGATTAACTAGCCGAGTACACAGATATGAATGTTTATTCATAACCATACTGAAAATAAGTAAATATTGTTAGCTGATGCTAACTGTCTAGCTAACAAGCTTGCTGGAGCTAAGTTGAGGTAATTTTTAGATATAAAGTCCAAATATTTTTATTCAACCACCTAAATAGATTACAGGGAAAAAGAAAGGATGTGATGTTCAGAACATGGTAACTACAGTAATTATCAAAGTGGGAAGTGATACCCTCTGGGGGCATTTGGCCAGGGGTGCTTTTACACCACAGACAAGGTTTGAGAAGAAAAAAATCATTATGAAAATATAATTATATGATAAAAATACTAATCTTATATACAGGCACTGGACTAAAAATACATTCATCAATCATCGCTCCCAAAATGAATTCAACGGGTCATCTTGTTTGCTATACATTAATTACAACAATAAAATAACATTTCATCATGAACAAGAACATTAGACCACAGAAATTCCAAAATGACATTTCCCTTACATTCAACTTCCAAAAGTGCATTCATCTTTGCCATTTTACATTCAGTTAGTTGACTAGTGCTATATGCTGTACTAACAAACACATAAATGGCATTAATAAAAACACTAACACTGACAAGCTACGCAATATCGCGTTCATAATTTGTCGTGATCTATGGCTCTGTGTATTAAATGCCACTCCATCTGAAAGCACGTGATGGAGATTAACTGGTACTATTAATCACAGAATCGGCTTTACTGACAAGATGTGCATGACAATCACATGCGATTTATCGTGCAGCCCTAAGTTTGTTTGTTGATCACAAAGTACAAAAGTAGATGAGGAAAACTAGGATGCCAGGTGTATTCAAACAACGCCGCCATTACGGTCTAGAGTGCGTGGAATGGTGCGCTGTGATTGGTTGAGCGGATATATCGCATTCTGCAGAGAAGGGAAACTGGCGTTTGTCTCGGTTTGGAAAGAAAGGGAGAAAACATGACAGAATAACTCTGCGGATATAGCATTTTGCGTGAAATAAAAAATTTACTTTTCAATACCGACCAGATACAATACTGATTTTGGCGGAAACTCAACTTTTGTAAAAATGCCGTTTATCGCGTTTTGGAACCAAACTCTTCAAATGTTCTTCCTAACTTCAGGCCTTATTCTCATGTAATATATAACTGTGATGTAAAAAAACAGATGTAATACGGATAAACAAATGATAAAGCTTGGCTTATTGAATATCAGGTCCCTTCCTACGAAAGCACTTTTTGTAAATGATATGATCACTGATCATAACCTAGATGTGCTCTGTTTGACAGAAACCTGGCTAAAACCTGATGATTACATTATTTTAAATGAGTCTACCCCCCCAAGATTACTGTTATAAACATGAGCCACATCCAAAAGGTAAAGGGGGAGGTGTTGCTTCAGTTTATAACAATGTTTTCAGTATTTCTCAGAGGGCGGGCTTCAAGTATAACTCGTTTGAAATAATGGTGCTTCATATAACATTATCCAGAGAAGCACATGTTAATGATAGATCCCCTGTGATGTTTGTACTGGATACTGTATACAGGCTACCAGGGCACCATACAGACTTTATTAAAGAATGTGCTGATTTTATATCCGAGTTAGTGCTGGCTGCAGATAAAGTTTTAATTGTTGGTGATTTTAATATCCATGTTGATAATGAAAAAGATGCATTGGGATCAGCATTCATAGACATTCTGAACTCTATTGGGGTTAGACAACACGTCTCAGGACCTACTCACTGTCGAAATCATACTCTAGATTTAATACTGTCACATGGAATTGATGTTGATGGTGTTGAAATTATGCAGCCAAGCGATGATATCTCAGATCATTATTTAGTCTTGTGCAAACATCATATAGCTAAAACTGTAAATTCTACTCCTTGTTACAAGTATGGTAGAACCATCACTGCTACCTTCTTTTAGAAGAAAATAAGCATAACCCCAAGTATTTTTTCAATACAGTGGCTAAATTAACGAAAAATAAAGCATCAACAGGTGTTGACATTTCCCAACAGCACAGCAGTAATGACTTTATGAACTACTTTACTTCCAAGATCGATACTATTAGAGATAAAATTGTAACCATGCAGCCTTCAGCTACAGTAATGCATCAGATAGTGTGCTATAGATCACCTGAGGAACAATTCCACTCATTCCCTACTATCCACTTTTTTCCTGGGGGCGCTGCTGTAAAAACCATTATGGGTATAACTTCCGCCGGAAGTAGTAGTTGCGTTGACTGAGTTGCGCCGACGGTGAAATGTTTTGTTTATGTGCAGTTTGTTTTTCAGGCGGGAATATATTAAAATGGCATTACAAAGCTATGGAACAACCTGTGCTGTCCGTGGATCCACTTATAACCAGACGAAGTTTAATTTGTGGCTTAAAGAACAGTGCTATATACACAAACCTAAAGTTAGAGTAGAATGCACTTGCGAGAGAAGGTACAGTTTTCATCGCCTTCCTATAGAAGACGAAGCTAAGCGAAACTGGCTCAAAAACCTGAACTTAAAGAATCCCCCCAAAACGCTTTACGTATGCTCTTTTCACTTTGTGGAAAAAAAACTGACAGAGGACAACCCATACCCTACTCTTTTCCTCGGTTATGAGAAGCCTCCGGCCACCCGACTGAGCCTGGTTTCTCCCAAGGTTTTTCTCCATTCTGTCACCGATGGAGTTTTGGTTCCTTGCCGCTGTCGCCTCTGGCTTGCTTAGTTGGGGACACTTCATTTCCAGCGATATCGTTGACTTGATAGCACAGATACTATTTAAACTGAACTGAGCTGGATGATGACATCACTGAATTCAATGATGAACTGCCTTTAACTGAAAAATTAATGTTTACTATTGTCACTTTGCATTATTGACACACTATTTTCCTAATTAATGCTGTTCAGTTGCTTTGACACAATCTGTATTGTTAAAAGTGCTATATAAATAAAGGTGACTTGACTTGACTTGATGTTCTGCAAAACAACAAGCTTTAAAACACTTTTTTTCTTACTGGTGAAAATCAGATGGTCAAATCGGTTTTCTCTCGGGTACATCGCAGTGTAAGCTTCACAGTGAACATTACTACATCACTCTCGTCAACGTAGTCCATATCAACAACAAAAATATATCTTGACTCCATATAGTGGTTATTTTGGGAAAATCACAGGTATTTTGAGCAGTAGGATTATAAAAAATATGTACTAATATAAGATTAAATTAAGTAGCCTTTATAAAATTGCAAAATAAATCTATCAGTACTTTTTTACTTAAGTACATAACAAATCGAGTACTTTTGTACTTTCACTCGAGTAAAATTGAAAAAGGAGTAGGCTACTTTTACTGGAGCAATATTTTATTATACATATCTTTTACTCAAGTACTTGATTTGTGTACTTCGTCCACCACTGAAATTAAACACTAGGAGATCTATATTAAAATGGTATCGCAAATGGCAATTCTTTAAAGAAACACTTTAATAATACAAAGTTTGTCATTCAATTCATGTTGCTGTAAACCTAGCTTTCCTTCTTAGCAGTAAAAGAAGAATGTTACAGTCACCATATAGTATACAGTGTCTTTCAAGCTCCAAAAACAAAACACAAAAGTAGTTCCTACACCATAAAACAACTTGTGTGCTATAATCCAAGTATACAAAAAAAAAGTGGTTCCCAACCATGTTTCTGGAGTCAACATTTTGAATGTCTCCTTTGTATGAATGTGAAGTGATGGGGTGACTCCAAGAACGTAGTAAGGAGCCATTGTACTAAAGTATGCTAAGTAACAGCTTTAACCCTATTCGGACGGTAATTGTCTCTTGTGGGCATCTCTAAAAATAAACTTACATGACACCTCAGTGATAAAACTCATGGATTCGGACAGTGATTTATTCACAGTTGAGTTCTGTGATCCTACGAACGCACTGCTCACGTGGTATGAGCATGATTGTCTGCTGCAAATAAAATGTCATATGCTTGGAATAATAAGAATAAATTAATATTTAATAATATCCTATTTATTATTTGATTATTTAAATCTTCTGTTTAAAAATAGGGAAATAGGCATAGGCAAAAATAGGCACTATAGCTGAAATTGTTTTCCGTCTCGCATTTTATCTCTCAAAATGATGGATGTCAGTTAAGTCAATGTCAAATTAATGCAACCTCTTATTTACATACGGTAAACAAAGCTGCTTATATTTTTATGTAGATTCAGAGATGTAGTTTCAGACAGCAATTAAATTACCACAGGACCTTGGTGTTTGTCAAAAAACTGTAGGCAATTCGGGTGGGGATTTTTATGAGGGTGGTGGGAGAAAAACACCAGCATTCTGAATTTGGACGGCAATAAAATCACAGACTAACTACTGTAAATGTTGAAAAACGCTTGCGTCTCCTTGAGAAACAATTGCCGTCCGAATCAGGCCAAACAGGCAAAATTATCAATGAAAAATGGCCTTTAGCAAGCATTGTACATTGGTACAATGAGATTTTAGAGAAAGAGGGGCTTCCTTGCACAATGTTGCAGAAACAGAAAAGGGTAAATGACTAAATGTAGTGCCACTTGTCACAATCACAAACCGGTTAAAAATCATGGAAGAGATACCTTTTAAGCCTATCACTTTGTTGAATTGTGTTTGGTTAGAACGGTGTTAAATCAAAAGGCTGCAGAAAACCTATATACTTTAAAAGGCTTATTATTTGTATGGACTATTTGCATGTATATGCATGTGAAAGAACTGTATAAACATTGTTCAAAATATCTCCTTTTATGGTCTACAGAAGATGGCACCATTAAGTAACAGGAGTTTGTAAGACATGAGAGTGAATAAGTGATGACAGTTTTTGGGTGAATTAAAACTTCAAAGATTCATACTGCTGACAAAAACCTTGTTCCTCCTTTCCAAAGACAGAGGACCCTGAGAAACCTATTTACAGAGATTATAGAGGAAACAAATACACAGATTTTGCAGAGGAATCACAAAAAGTTATTTATTAAAGTAAATGAAGGAAAGAAAAAGAATGTCTGAGCAGCTGCTACTGTAGGTAAGGAAACAGTAATGAGAAACAGCAGTAAGGATGAGGGCTACAGCAACCAAGGAGGACACTAACGTTTATGATTTCTATTAAAGCTACTGATCTTTTGCTTAAGCATTCTTGGAATGAAACCATTTCACTTTAAAATTGAGGTAAAAGTGCCATACAGCATGGATACATATACAACATGCATGCTGAAATTTTATTCATCAATTTGAAATTTGGCTAGGAGTCAGCGGTAAGGTCATAAGGACATTCTAGGATTTCCCTCTATCTTCTGTTCTGATGGAGCCATGACCTGGCTCAGATTATGCCACCGGTCTTTCTCCCCGCAACTGTCCTAGAAACCAGTTTTAATGACAGTTCTGAGATCAGCTCTACGATATCTTTATGTGAAGAACAGACTAAAATTTAAATAATTCACTGAAAATCTTGCATTCCATCATTGCTCGTCAGGCATACTGTGCTCACAAAAGGCTGTGTTTGCTATGGTACACTGTACACTGTTTAAAAAAGTATAAAATATGCAGTTTTATTTTGTGGCATTATGCAAATATGTCTTTAGTCAGTTCAATCACATAATGAGCCAATAAAGATTGACTGCCTGGGATACAGTATTTTAAAGTGTGCACTTGCTTATGGCACACTCTGACAAATCTAGCAGATCATCTGGATAGTTAAAGGGGTCATATGATGCTGCTAAAAAGAACATTATTTGGTGTAATGAAATGTGTTTATGCAGTTTAAGGTTCAAAAAACATTATTTTCCACATACGTGACATGTGGCAAAGTATGGTGACCCATACTCGGAATTAGTGTTCTGCATTTATCCCATCCAAAGTGCACACCCACAGCAGTGAACACACACACACCGTGAACACACACCCGGAGCAGTGGGCAATAATGTACTAATACTGTACATTATTGTTTCTCCTCTATGCCCCGCCTTTCTGAAACACGTCGATTTTTACAAAGCTCATCGGTCTGAAAAAGTGAGGTGTGCTCTGATTGGCCAGCTATCCAGTGCGTTGTGACTGGCCGAAATCCTCAGGCATGTGACGGAAATGTTACGTCCCATACCATATTGTGATGCCTGCGGCAACCACATGTGACGACCCCGGGCTGGACTCCGCTTTGTCCACGGTGAAAGCCGATCCGGCGATCGACAGCACGAAGTTTAAGTATTAAGGCATGACGAAGCGATATCGTCCTCTTTTGGAAGGCCAAACAAAGTAGTTTCGCTTTCATAATGAAGCACACAGTGCCTTCACGACATGGCGGTGGCAACAACAATACTACAGCGAGAATAAAAGTTACGCCTTCTTTCTTTGCGTGAACATTTGGGTGGCGTTATGCAAATCTTCCCAGATAGTGACGTAGGTATGTGGGGGCGTGTTAGAACGAGCCGTTTTAGGTAGGTGTGGCTGACTCTTAACTTTTATAAAGAATATCTCTTTGGAATTGACACTTTAGTCTTTGCAACTTTACAGATCTTCTTTATGCACCAAGAGCTTGTAACACTCCAAAGAGAAAGTAAAAATTTAAATCGCATCATATGACCCCTTTAATGCATACATTTGCATATTGTGCTGTATACAGAATATGGAGAGACAGCATACTGTAGAAACATTGAGTACGTAGTACTATGCAGTATGACATTTCGAACAGAACCAAATTTCCAAGAACAATGCATTTCAATCTGTTTCTCATGCAAATCTATTAAATTGAGTTATATGAACTACATTTATGGTGCTTTTGTCCTTTTTGACAGTGACAGTTAATATCTAGTTGTGTTGTATGCCAAATACATAATGATCTGCTTTTTGTGTTCTATGGAAATAAAAAACACAAAAATAATGATTGAACCGCATGGAGTACAGGTGAGGTGAACTATTCCAAAAAATGTGTCTCAAAGTTGAGGCTGACTGCACCCAGGTAAGCTCCACTATCTATGAGACTTGTTCTAATATCATCCACCTGGAATAATGAAAAGGCACTTGGACTATAATATTATTTGGTTTAGTCTTATCAGTTTTGTAATCTGAAATCAATCAAATTCAACAGACGCAAAAACAATTGTTTGGCAGTGATCTGAGTTTTAAAGTTTTCATAAGATTTTCAGTCTGTCCACATACAGAAAAGAAGTAGGGATGGAACTAACATTAATCACGGAACATTGAGAAGCATAACTGAAAAAATATAAATGCATCTAACATAAGCAAGCCAATTATTAACGTTATATAAATTATATGCATACCCCAAAATAGCAAAAGTTCCAGTTAGGATAATAAATACTACACAAATGTTGTCCAACACAAACAATTGTGAAATAAACACAACTGCCAATTTGTCTTATATAACAGCAAATTAAAGAATTTTGAAAGAGACCCACAAAACTACAACTAATATAATGACCAACATTCTGCTTTCATACCAGAGCACCCATGGGCGTCTCTACTCTAATTCCGAAAGCTTTTTCCAAACACTGGCAAACAGAAGAAGAGCAGTATTCTCACAGAGAGTTTATAAGTGTGAAAGCAAACCTCGTGTAGTGGGCAGCATGTCGGACAGCCCCTGCCATGCTGTGACCATCTCTGGATTCCTCTGGTCAGCAAAGTTCTTCCAAATTCGCAAAGCTCCATCATCTGCACAAAAAGTGGCATGTAGCAAGTCAGCACAGAAAGGGACAAACATGAGAACCGATCAAAGTGTGCTTCAACATGAATAGTAGGTGAACTGACCAGTGGCAGTGAGGAGGAGAGAGCAGTCATGCCCATTAAGGTACTCCATAGCTGTAATGCGTGTGTATCGTGGGTTCCCATTGTAGAAATAATCCAACCTCTCTCCTTTCTCCCAGTCCCAAAAACTGTTCAACACATACACAGAACACAGTTGTAATAGTTCACAATGCCTCTCTATGCACATCCAGCTAGATTGATAGTTTGAGTTCAGGAAGAATATTAGCATAACTGACAAGTAGGGTTGCAAAAAGGTGGAAAACTTTTTTGGAAAGTTTCCGGAAATTTACCACCCCTTTGCAACTCTACTGACAAGTATAACTAACATGCCAAATACATGTCACTAATGAACAGATAACGGTACAAAATACAGGCATGTGATCAGCTAGAGACAAAAAAAAAAAGAAGTAAAACCTGATCACGCCACAAGTCACGCCCCCAGCACTTAATATTACAATAATATATTTTAGCACATTAAAATATATATCTTATATTGTAATACATACTATTGTCCTTCAAAAAATAAAAAGCAGCATTTAATAATCATGATAACAATATAATATAATATATTATAATAAAGTACAATAATATATTATACAGTAAAGCATATCGAATTTTTATAAGTACCTGCCAAAATTTTGGAAACATTACAATTATTAATGATTTTAAAATAAATATCTTCTGCTCATCAAGGCTGAATTTATTTGATCAAAATAAAGTACAAAAACAAACAAAACAGCAATATTGTGAAATATTATTACAAAAAAAAAAAGGTTTTCAATTTTAATATATTATCAAATGTAATGTTATTCCTGTGATGCAAAGCAGATTTTTCTTCATCATTAGGCTACTTCAGTTTTCAGTGTCACGTGATCTTTTAGAAATTATTACAATTTATTTGACTCTCGAGAAACATTTCTGATTATTATCAATGTTGAAAACAATTTTGCTGCTTCATATTTTGAGCGGAAATGGTAATACACTTTATTTTTCAGCATTTTTTGATAAATATAAAGTTTAATGAACAGCATATATTTGCATTTATCAAATATAGCATATTAATTAAATTTGTTAATGCATTTATTAAATAGAAATAATTTTAAATGTCTTCACTCACTTTTTATCACTTTCATGCATGATGAATAAAATTATTAATTGCTCTCTTTAAAAAAAAATCTTATACAAATGTTTGAGTGTTATCATTGTTTCCACAAAAATATTAAGCAGCAAAACTGTTTTTAACATTGATAATAATGAGAAATGTTTCTTGAGCAGCAAATCAGCATATTAGAATGATTTCTGGAGGATTATGCGATACTGAAACTTCTCTTTGTAAACAACAGCAGCTGTATAAACGTTTCTAATAACGAATGTTGCGTTCCCAAATGCAATAACAGCAGACATGTAGCGCGTCAGACTACAGCCTATTATATAATTACATCACAACCGTTGCAAATTTTATGACAGCTTTTATGAGTAACACGTTTCAGCGCTGATTCTACTCGCGTTTGGCGCTTTGAATCATTTGAACGCTTTTAACTGTCCTGCAGATGGCGCCGCGAGCTCGTGCAGCGCTCTCAGGACCATTCCGTCCATGATGGTTTCGCAGTTTATTTAATAGTATGGAACGATATTCCGGACAATTTTCAAATAGAATAGCAAATTGTATTTTCAATTGCGTTTTCAATATGTGGACGCATAAATTGTGACATAATCCAAATGCAATTGCAAATCAATAGCTTAAGGCCATTTGCGCAAATTCAATCATCATCTAGTAACCAACCCCACCCCCACAAAAAAAAAAAAAAACGGATCTACGCGAATCACATGGGCCGTCCCTCAGAGGTTGGAAAACAAGGAAATCCGAAAAATCACATCTCTGAAAATATGTTACAATATAGGTTACACATATGAGCAATATGGCTGGCCAATATTGCTAACTTTTGTTAAAAAATAATCAGGGCATGATTTATATCTATATCTAATAATCTAATAATCAGGGCATGATTTATGAGTTATATTTAATCATTTTTATTTATTTGCAACAATGTACCAAATACATGGTAACAAACGGCAATATTTACCTCTTATATTTTCAATTTTAAGCATGCACAACATGAGATGGCCTGAATATTTCTGAGTGATGACAAAAAAAAAAATCTCCGAATCAGTGTTTTGAACTGAATTTGATAAGGGGGAAAAATGGATTCGCATACTTTAAAACTCCATGAGCATTTTTCTAAATGAGGTTTAAAACTGACAGTATTAAAATATCTGTCTTGGCACACTCATATTCTCAAGTTGTAACAGAGAAGAGGGGGCAAAGATAGCCTAAATATGTCATCCCATGGTCATTAGGAGATTTATAACAAACCACATTCTACAGTGTTTCCCATAGAATTTTGTGAGACTATGGGGGAGTGATCTTGGTTACTTTAAGTATATTATTTTACTTCATACTACAGTAGTAAAATTACAATGCTGTCTTAATTTATTTTTCTTCACTTAAAAGAGTTAAACCCTCAAGCTTTTAATTAGGCAGAAAACAACATGTTTACAAAAATATGCTACAAAAATCTAGTGATATACAGGAATAAAAATACAAAAAGAAATGGTGGAATGTGAAAATAAAGCATAACTGTTGTGACAAAAAACAACATTAGAGATTTTTTAAGTTATTATGAGAAAAGGAAACTATATTGTTCTACGTGCAGTACTCTGAAAAGTGGTATCTAAAATCCAAATGTTATTATGGTCTTATGCTTGCTTATACATGCTTCTCTTTCAAAGAGTTTTGGTTGTAGATGAATGTGGTTGTGTATGTTATATAGTCACTCACCAGATTGAGTCTTTATCAGCTACAGCGATGCAGGGGTTAAATGGATGAAACTTCACCACTGATGGAACACCTGGGTTTCTGTTAATGAAGATCTGATCATCTAACCGTGTCACTCCTAATACCACAAGAGGGATAGATCAGTTAAGTACAGGTTTAATTAGTGAAATTTTGAGCTTTACTAATGACCACAGCAGTCTTTTGGTTTACAAGTTTTTGAGGAAAATGAATAAGGGTGACACTACTGAACTTCAGTGTGAGAATTGCAGATCAGAGAAAAAATATGCATGAAGGGAACTCAGAGGGAATTCAGGATTTGATTCAGTTCCTCCAGCTAGACTGAATGAGGGCAGCCCCACTCTCGGCTTCAGAGAGGAGGATGGGGGAGAGAGTGATGAAAGGAGAAAGACACACGAGAGTGAGCAGGATCCTCCGCTCTGACGCAATCAGTCCTGCGCACTTGTGTGTATGCGTGCCGGCACTGACGTAAGCATGTTAGCCATTCCGTTTTAGACTCCGCTGACTTAAGACAGGGAGCCAAGCACATTGCTTTCTTTTAAGCTTGGGGCTTTTACACACAAAAACTACAGCATATAACTGGTTCAACCCAGTTCCACTTGTGAAATCCAGATTATATTTATATTATTTTATCATTAAATTATTATTGTGAAATCCACATTATATAAAAAGGATCTAATGTACAGAGATTAAAAGCATTCCTGATAAAGGTTTACTGCAGACCAGGGGTGTCGCTAGAGCCTTTTTGCTGGGTCACAAGCCCCAGTGAAATAACACTGTCCCCCAAAAAATATTACTAAAAATAAATATTGATTAAGTGACAGCCCTTTAAACACACTAAGCTATAACGCAAGTTCTATTTTTAGATGCTGTATCCACTGAAATATAAAAAATAAATAAATAAATAAACTGGGGACACTTTTTTGATTTTTTGGGGTGGTCTGTGCCCCAGTATTGATGAAAGGCTAGAAACATTCCTGCTGTAGACTTGAGTGAAATGATATTAGCATCTGCAACTTTTGCTAAATATTTGTATATGTTATGAGCATATATGACTAGAACTGGCTAAATTGAGACAGCAATTTCATGCAGTTTGACAGTTGGAAACCAGTACCTCTTTGAGTGATGCGTTGGCTTTGTCTGCGTATTCGTGCGTTGCGTAAGAATCTCCATTCTCTCTCCTTACGAACCTGACTCTCCAAATCATGCTCCTCTGGAATCTGAAAGAGAAGAAAGAATTTTAAATGATGTAGCACAGACAGAGTCAACCTGTTTAAAGGGGTCATCTGACGTTGCTAAAAAGAACATTATTTTGTGTATTTGGTGTAATGCAATGTGTTTATGCGGTTTAAGGTTCTTTTTTGAAAGAATTTGCCACATTATTTGCCACATACTGTACATTATTGTTTCTCCTTTATGCCCCGCCTTTCTGAAATTTTTACAAAGCTCATCGGTCTAAAAAGCGAGGTGTGCTCTGATTGGCCAGCTATCCAGTGCATTGTGATTGGCCGAAAACCTCAATCGTGTGACGGATATGTTACGCCCCTACCATACTGTGATGCCGTATCCCGGAGCGACGAGACAAAAACATTAAAACCCATTATAAATGAGGCATTTGTTGCATCCAGTGGAGACATAATTACTGATTATAATTATTTATACTGTCTTTTTACTGCGTGCGTATTGCGCTGTGTAAACATAAAACCATGTCTGCATTTGTGATCGGAGAAACGACAAACAACAAGCACTATTCTACACTGCTCAAAACTCGATTTTGAATCGTCAGTGGCAAATTCTTTAAATATAAAAAACGTATTACAGACTGTGAGTCAGAAGCGCCAGACTGTCCTTGCAAAAGTTGGAATTGCCCCACTTTATAGAAACAGACACCGGCATTGTAGGCTATACTCTCCCAGTAAACAGTCCTCGTCCTCCATAAAATGCGCTGCACAAATCTGACTATTTGGTTTGAACTGTTCTGGAACAGTGCTGTAAATACAACTTAACCACTGATTTCTAGTTGTGTCCTCTTTTGGAAGGCCAAACCAAGTAGTTTCGCTTTCACAACGAAACACACAGCGTCTCCACGACATGGCAGCGGCGGCAGCAACAATACTACAGAGAAAATCAAAGTTACGCCTTCTTTCTTTGCGTGAACATTTGGGCGGCGTTATGCAAATCTTCCCACATCATGACGTAGACATGCGGGGGTGTGTTAGAACGAGCCGTTTTAGGTAGGCGTGGTTGACTCTTAACTTTTTTGTTAATTTGAGACTAGTCTTTGCAACTTTACAGATCTTTATGCACCAATAGCTTGTAACACCCCAAAGAGAAAGGAAAAATTTAAATTGCATCATATGACCCCTTTAAAACCATAAAAATTCAAATGCACACATGCACCTGGGTTTGATAGTTGTGAGAACAGAAACTCCAGAGGCTGTAATTGTGTAAAGTCAAATTACCTAGATGAAGTTCTTTAAACAATACAGATTGTTTCAAAGCAACTTCACAGTAATAAAGTGGAAAATAACAGAATCAAGGATATTATCAAATTTCAAGAAATACGATAATAAAGGCTAACAGTTTTTTCTCTCTAAAAAAGCATGTAAACTGTAGTCTCTCACTCTCTCTATACTTTCACATGTCTGTTAAATTTCTAAAAAGTGTGACTGATGTTCTTTCTTCCTCTCCCCAAACTCTGCCTCTCCATTTGTAAGAATGAGAAAACAAGATAAATAAAGTACTCAATTTATGCACAAATAGAGCTGAAGCCCTGAGAGAGAGAATCACAGCCCCAGCTAATTAGCCCTGATCGATCCAGTCTTCCAGATAGGAGCTCCAGGGAAGAGCAGATCCCATGCTGCAAGCCTAAGCTGCTCAAGCAGGGTAAGAAATCACATCTGTCTCTCTTCCTGCAGCTCTGGGGCGCCATATCAATCTCTTAATGAGAATCAATAATTTGTTTTTCCATGGAAATGAAGCAGTGAGCTTGTACATGTGATTACTTGCTCAGCTGGGACTGTGAATATGTCAGAGTTAATGGTCTCCTCTAGAGCCGGTATTATTCCATCGCATGCAAACACTCACACATAGTCAAGTCACCAGCAACATGCACTTATCACACCCATCACTCTAATAGACTGGAATAGAGCTCTTCTCTCAAGATGGATTTTTCAGCTTGCACTCAAAGTGCTCTTATCTTTGTATTCCATTATGTACATTTCAAACTTCTGTCCAGACTGCTCTCTGTTTAGTACACTTTCTGAATTATTGCACATATGAGTTGTATATGCTGTTCCTTTTTTATCAGGGAACCCCAAGAACACTTGCTTTGTTATGAACTGTTGTAAGTAGAGGTTGAACAATATGGATTTTTTTAATGACCGATCCATTATGATATTTAGAGAGCAGGGTGGATGACACCGAATATAATACAAATAGATAAATCTGTATAATCTAATGACATACAAAACTGATTAAATTAAAAAACATTTACACAATATTTAATAGAATATATATACAGTGGGGGAAAAAGTATTTAGTCAGCCACCAATTGTGCAAGTTCTCCCACTTAAAAAGATGAGAGAGGCCTGTAATTTTCATCATAGGTATACCTCAACTATGAGAGACAAAGTGAGAAAAAAAAAATCCAGAAAATCACATTGTAGGATTTTTAAAGAATTTTTTTGCAAATTATGGTGGAAAATAAGTATTTGGTCAATAACAAAATTTCATCTCAATACTTTGTTATATACCCTTTGTTGGCAATGACAGAGGTCAAACGTTTTCTGTAAGTCTTCACAAGGTTTTCACACACTGTTGCTGGTATTTTGGCCCATTCCTCCATGCAGATCTCCTCTAGAGCAGTAATGTTTTGGGGCTGTCACTGGGCAACACGGATTTTCAACTCCCTCCAAAGATTTTCTATGGGGTTGAGATCTGGAGACTGGCTAGGCCACTCCAGGACCTTGAAATGCTTCTTACGAAGCCACTCATTCGTTGCCCGGGCGGTGTGTTTGGGATCATTGTCATGCTGAAAGACCCAGCCACGTTTCATCTTCAATGCCCTTGCTGATGGAAGGAGGTTTTCACTCAAAATCTCACGATACATGGCCCCATTCATTCGTTCGTTTACACGGATCAGTCGTCCTGGTCCCTTTGCAGAAAAACAGCCCCAAAGCATGATATTTCCACCCCCATGCTTCACAGTAGGTATGGTGTTCTTTGGATGCAACTCAGCATTCTTTCTCCTCAAGTTGAGTTTTTACCAAAAAGTTATATTTTGGTTTCATCTGACCATATGACATTCTCCCAATCCTCTTCTGGATCATCCAAATGCTCTCTAGCAAACTTCAGACAGGCCTGGACATGTACTGGCTTAAGCAGGGGGACACATCTGGCACTGCAGGATTTGAGTCCCTGGCAGCGCAGTGTGTTACTGATGGTAGCATTTGTTACTTTGGTCCCAGCTCTCTGCAGGTCATTCACTAGGTCCCCCCGTGTGGTTCTGGGATTTTTGCTCACAGTTCTTGTGATCATTTTGACCCCACGAGGTGAAATCTTGCGTGGAGCCCCAGATCGAGGGAGATTATCAGTGGTCTTGTATGTCTTCCATTTTCTAATAATTGCTCCCACAGTTGATTTCTTCACACCAAGCTGCTAACCTATTGCAGATTCAGTCTTCCCAGCCTGGTGCAGGTCTACAATTTTGTTTCTGGTGTCCTTTGACAGCTCTTTAGTCTTGGCCATAGTGGAGTTTGGAGTGTGACTGTTTGAGGTTGTGGACAGATGTCTTTTATACTGATAACGAGTTCAAACAGATGCCATTAATACAGGTAAAGAGTGGAGGACAGAGGAGCCTCTTAAAGAAGAAGTTACAGGTCTGTGAGAGCCAGAAATCTTGCTTGTTTGTAGGTGACCAAATACTTATTTTACCGATTTGTATATATATATATATATATATATATATATACACATACACACACACATACATACAGTATATATATATATACTGTATATATAATAATACATAGACAAAGTCTTATTTTGTAATTGACTCAAGAGGGAACTATAATAATTATTCTGTAATTACATAATAAATATCAAAGTTATTATTAGAAATTCAATTTTTTTTAAATGTGGACTCATCTGAGTACAGCACACATTTTCACTGTCTTTTTGACTATCTGAGATGAACTCTGGCCCAGAGAACCCTGGCGGCATCACTGCATAGAATTGATGTATAGCTTTCTCCTAAAGTAACAGTGTTACAAGTTGCATTTCTTGATGCAGCAGCAGACTGTATTAAGTACGGTTGGGTACCGTTCACATTTTAACCGGTATGGTACCGGTATCTGTACCTGAATTTCAGTGCCGGTACCCAACCGTACCTTTTTTCGGTACTTTACTCTTTGTGTAATTACAAAAAACATTATGTTTGATCAAGGTTGGAACTAAACTCTGGAAGTAGATAGACAAAACTTTTTCAAATGTCAATGTTCATTGTCAATATTATCTTCTTTAAACATTTTATGTGTTTCAAATAACTTGTGTCGCTATCAGCACTGCATTCAAGCAGAGAGCAAGATTTTGCGTGTTCGGCGTGCATGCTGCTGAGTGAGACTGTTATGCAGATGCAAAATGTGAAACTGTAATCTTATTCGCAGTCTAACTTTTTATAAATATTTGTACAATATATATTCAGCATATTTAACTTAACCCATTTAGTATCTTTATTATTTAATGCATAACGATTTATTAAAACACATTCATGAGAGTCATTATAACTAGTTTATGACTGCGACAATTTAATCTTGATCAACAACATCAATGAATTGGAGCGGCATCGGCCTGTAATTAGATCATTTTAAAACATCAAATAGCCTTCAATTTGCAGGTTATAACTGCATCTATTTTATTTATTAATTATTTTATTTATTTTAATGCGGATCCCACACTCTAGCATTAACCTTATATAAATGTGCTCTAGTCTATTATTCCTATTCAAATGTTTGTGCGGAAAAGAATGAATGCTCAAGCAAGACAGGGAGGAGCCTGCACGATCACTTGCATTTTTTTCTTGATAATGAAACAACTTAAAATTGGGGTGCCTTACATAGGCTACATGAGAAATATATCTAAAGAAAGCTTGTCTACTTTCAAACGAACCAATTCAAAATGAAATCAAATAGACTAGGCCTACTCCCTGATTATGTAATCT